GGACTTCGACGAATTGATTGGTTATAGAATAAAGATCTGGTGGCCAATGGATAAGAAGTAAGTACACTCTCTAGACCTTTTGGATAAAGTGGTGTTCTTTAATAGTTAGTATTTCCATTGGTGCACTCCACTGCGGTTTTCAAGTTATTTACTGAGAATATTTGTGTTTCCCACTTTTAGTTTGATCTGCAACTGTGTAGTTTCTGAGCTCTGCTGTATAGTCAGTTGCTGCCTGGTTTTAGAGATTTCAAAAGTATTGAATATATTTTGTAAGGAAACTGATATGATTATGGCAAACATTACAGATTTTATGCAGGCACGGTCAAGTCTTACGACCCTTTAAAGGGGAAGCATGTGGTATGCTGCACCTGTCTCTCTGCTCTCCCAAAGATTGTGAATTATAGTATATATCTTATGACCATTGCTTGATGAAATTGTTGGTTCTTGGGTTTGTATAGGTTCTATATGATGATGGTGATATCGAAGTTCTTCGTTTAGATAGGGAGCGTTGGGAACTGATTGACAAGGGCAGAAATACTGCAAAGGTCTTCTACTCTCCTAGTAAAAAGATCGTTTGCTTGTTACTCCAGTTTTGTGATTAGTTGTTTTGATGGTTTATTTCTTTGCAGAAGTTGAGTTCATCTAAGCGTGCCCCTTCTAAGGAAGAGTAAGTATAATTTCTGATGAATATTTCAGAAGAAAAATCAGCTAGAGTGAAAACCACTAAGATTCTTTTTCTTTTCCGTGGATGGCCTTTACAGGTCGCCCAGACCGAAGAAAAGGAGTAGAGGTAGTTCACAGCAGAACAAGAAGACCTCCACAAAGATGTATGTTTTTAAATATTGTGGAACTCCTGTTGTAATTTGCGTTGCATTTTAAAGTTTGCTTTGATTTTTTGTGGTGATGAGGTGACCATAGGGCGTTTATTTTTCTTCTTCTCGTAGAACTAAGGGCAAAAGAACACCAAAGAAAAACTCCAAACAAGTCCAGAACGAGCTAGAAAAGAGCGAGCATTCTGATGCGTCTAAGCCAGAACTTGCCCAGCCATCTGATGACGAAGAAACAAAATCTGGTACTGTCAACGGGTCCCATTAGACTTGATCTACTCTGGGCATACTTTGATAGTACTAAGGACTAATGAAATCTTTCTCCCTACAGATGACTCTCAAGTTGAACACAAGGATGAAAAAACATTGTCTCTTACAGGGGACGAGGAATCCGACAAAGAAAATATGTCAACTTCCCCCGTTATACACTCAGCGGATGATGAAGTGGAGAATAAGTCCAACCATTCCGACGATGATGGAGAAGGTGCACAAAGCCTTGAAGTCAAAGATTCTGATGATATCGAAAGTGAAAAGCACAAAGAAGTGAATAATGATTCTGGCAAGGAGGACAGTATGAAACATGAAGAGGAGAAGAGTGATTCTGACGTGGAAGAATCTCATTCAGAAGAGGAGAAGAAGGGAGAAGATCAGTCAGATGAAGGAGAGGAATCAGGTTCTGAAGAGAGTGAAGATTCTGGCCAGGTCGACATGGATCAAACCGATCCAAAAATTCCTGAACTCTCGGATGATGAGCCTCTTGTATATTCTTCTCAACCTCCTCTCACTTTATTTCCAGGCATTTTTAGTACATGATGGTTGTCAAACTTATGGAACTTTGTACTTTGCAGAGCTTGTGGAAGGATAAGGTTAGGAAAAAGTCTGCGTCAAAGCCAGCAAGCTGAAACAGGAGAAGCATGGAAGGGTTATTGACCTGAGCAAAGTGAACAGTCTGTGCTTTGCTTCAGTAAGTTGGTTGGTTGTTGTACCTTAGCTGGTGGTGGTGTAGATTGTGGATGAAGAAAAGAGAGCCAAGAAAACAGATGTAAAGAAGAGAGTGATAAACTTACTAGGGAGGTTTCGTCTCGTCGGGGACTGTTTTACCAGATGATAAGAAAACTGTAGAGTAAAATTTACTAATTAGGGCATCCCTCACCTAGCTTACATAGAGATTTTAGTGCCCTCTCCCCTGCCCCTGTAATTTACCCCAGGTTAGCCAGCTGTGCAGTCAATCATCCTCATCGTTGTAGTCTTTGTAAGGAACCTTGTTGTCGTGGTTGTTTTCATCTTTGTTAATGTGTAACTTAGCTGGTAATTTCTCAACCCTGACTGGTTGCTGTTGTTCATGGAAATGATGAATGGTGTAGTATTTGTTGTAGTAGGTGCTTGATTTTGTACAGCAACAGTGAGTTGAGGGATGCCACAATGCTGTTCCTCCGTACATTATTCTTAGTTTAAAAGTTTTTGTGTTTGATTTCTGCAAGCAGCTGTAAGGGCAAGTGAAATTTCTGGGTTTTGGTTATCATAATATGCTGTTGAATCTAGCTGATTAATGGGGTTGCCATACGGGTTGAAGTACATAGACTGTAAATTGAATTCACATTCGGTTACACTTGAAACGAATCAATGTACACGTTTTTTCATCCGCTTATTCTTTACGTATAATTGAACAAACGAATTGAATTGAATTGAATTTGCTGTTAGGTTTGATCTTGGATCAATTTGAAGGGTTAGTTTCTTAGCGATTAGGTCCAATCCCAGACCTTGTTAAAATTTTAAGCCACCACTACGAATGGTATTAATATTATGATTACACATAATTATCAGCTAAGCTTATTCGTTTGATCTTGGGCCGAATTTATGTTTCTTTGATGGGTGGGCCAATAAGCCCATAAATAATCCTGTAAGGCCAGCTCAAGCAAAAATTTGTGTCGAAAAGCCCGAGCCCGTTGCAGTTCCGCTAGGTTTTTAGGGTTTCCCTTTCCCCCTTACATATATTGCTCGCTTGTTAAGAGGTTCATATTTCCGAGCGAAAGAGAGAAGAAGAGGCGGAGAGCAAACAAAACAGTTTTGCAGCAATGGCGCCGAGGAAGACTCCCGTCGTTTCCAGGAACCCGCAGCTTATCAGAGGAGTTGGCAAGTACTCCAGGTCCAAGATGTACCATAAGCGTGGTCTCTGGGCTATCAAGGCCAAAAATGGCGGTGTTTTCCCCAAGCACGATCCTAAACCTAAGGCCGCCGCTACCCCAGTGAAGCCCTCAAAGTTCTACCCGGCCGACGATATCAAGATGCCACTTCCCAACAAGCGCAAGGCTAAGCCCACCAAGCTCAGGTATCATTTTCTTCCCACCCTCCAATTCTTGTCATGTATTTCATTGCCGGCCTTGGATTGATGGATGTAGGAACTATTTAGGTCCCTTGATGTTGTTGGCTTATTTTGTTGGGTTTAGATCTGTAGTATTACCATTTTGTTTTTAATCTTCGCTGTTAGGAAATTTATCTGCTTTCCAGTTTTGTTAAAGTTTTGGGCTCTTGAGCTCCTAATTGACTTTGTGTTTAGTTGGTTCTATGTAAAAGGTGGTATTTTTGAGACTATATATCTGTTTTTTGTAATGGGGTTTTGAAATTTTAAGACTGCAGATATCGATTTCTTATTTTGGTTTCTGCTGATGCAGGGCTAGCATTACTCCTGGGACTGTTCTGATTCTCCTTGCTGGAAGGTTCATGGGCAAGAGAGTTGTGTTCCTTAAGCAGCTAACCTCTGGGTTGCTTTTGGTCACTGGTCAGTGTATTTTTTATATCCAATTGCTTTTTTGTCTATGGAATGGTATTTCTCAGTTTCATTTCTGATAGGGTCTATTTTGATTGTTACTTGATGTGAATTTGTCAACTGTTTTCAGCATGCATAGTGAGAATGGAGTGTCTTTTATTCCACTTCACTTTCGTATTCAACCATGTGTATAAATTTGTGTTTTGTTAGAACTCTTATCATTGATTAAGTTGGTTTAGCTAGTTCCTTATCATTAAAAGGTCTTAGTACTACTGTTTCTTGTTTGTTATATTGTTCTGATGTCAGGTTTGTAATCTGTGTTGTAATCTTTGGCAGGGCCATTCAAGGTCAATGGCGTCCCTCTCAGGCGTGTGAACCAGGCTTATGTCATTGGAACCTCTACCAAGGTTGATATCTCTGGCACCAATGTTGACAAGTTCGATGACAAGTACTTTGCCAAGGCTGCGGAGAAGAAGAACAAGAAGGGAGAGGGAGAGTTCTTTGAGGCGGACAAAGAGGTAAGCTATCTTTCTCATTTGCTCCCTTGTTTTGTTGACAAATGATATAGTTTCTCAATATCGTTCCGATGTTAAACTTTTTATTCTTTAACAGGAGAAGAGCGAGTTGCCACAAGACAAGAAGGATGACCAGAAGGCTGTCGATGCAGCATTGCTTAAATCGATCGAGGCAGTGCCAGATTTGAAGTCGTACTTGGCTGCCAGGTTCTCCTTGAAGGCGGGGATGAAGCCTCATGAGCTTGTTTTCTAAGCGAAGAGTGTTTTAGAAACTTAAATCTTTTGTTGTCGGTTGGTATTTTGGTTGGAGACACTTATTCTAGAAAAGTTTGTACTGAGAGTTTTGATTTTGTGATAGACGGGCTTCTTTAATCAAATATGAGTACTGGTTTTGCAAGGCCAATCTAATCTTTGCCCAATTCCCTATTTGGTGGTGGTGCTTTGATCTTGGTTATACTCGGATGTAGTAAGTCAGTTATTGAGCTATTATGCACCTCTTCTTGCGGATGTTCTTAATGAAGGGATCGAGTCAAGTGACTCTGTTCATATCAGGGAAGAAAAAGTACTGGCACCTCTTCATTTGGGCTATTGCTTACGAGCTAAATAGAACAACATTGTTGCTTTTTTGAATTGAGCTTAGCAGGTGTTGTGGCGTGCAATTAGAAACTGGAAACCATAATGGAAGGATCTGCTTAGAATTGAAGCTCTTCTAGGATTAGCTCCCGAAAAAGCCAGGGACTGAATAGTTAGTTTGGTAAAATATGGAGACTAGAGTATTCATTATTTAACTTTTGAGTGGTATAATCGTAGTTAGGCAAAGCGGGCACCGTATTTTCCCCGCGAAAACTAAAAGGGAATATAAATGAGAGGCCAATAAGAGAAAAGTTACAGGCCAATAAGAGAAAAGTTACCGCGCAAGGGTTTCTGTTCAAAATCCGAATCCTATTCGGACCGGCGCGTTCGATTTTCCATTCTTTTGTCTTGATTTTCCTGCCGCTTCCAGAGCAGGGTGACAAAGGGTTCCAGAATTCTTTAACTGGTGCTCAATCTGCTGAAAGTTTCGATCTTTGTGGTGGGTTAGAGAGGGTCCTACCGTTCTTCGATAATAACTATGAAGAGAAAGAGAGACGTCGGCAGTTCTGCTTCTCGTTCTCGACGGAGTTCCATGTTAATGAAGAGAAAGAGAAAGGTGCTTGGCTCTGCTTCTCGTCCCCGTCACAGCACCAAGTTTCTGAAGAGACATAAAAAGGTCCTTCATGGCTTTCTTCCTCTTCACTCTTATGTTTTGCTTTAAATTTCTGGGTTTCTGTTCTTCTTTACCTCTAGTAGTTTGATGGAACATTGAGATTGGGAACATGATTCTTTAAACTCTTATCAGTGAAATTTCTTGATCATTCACTGAAGAACACTAGTCTTAATCTACTAAGTTACCCATTCAACTGCAAAAACTTCACTATAAAACATAGACAGTAGTCTCTCTTTTGGTACTTTGCTTTTGTTGGCTCTGATTTGCCTTTGTGAATACGATACTGGTAAACCAATTAAGTTGGTTGTTTCGGGTTTTGCAGGGGTCCTCTGATAAATTGCATAGCTATAATCATGAAGACCGAATTAGTCAGCTTCCGGAGGACGTCCAGTTGTTCATATTATCTTTCCTGACAATTAAGGAGGTGGCCATGACTTGTTTCCTTTCCACTCAATGGATGGACTTGGGGGCTTCCATTCCTGGTTTAGACTTCAACGCCTCATTCTTCCCAATTGACGAAGGCATTGACTACCTGCCTCCGTACGTGAGGGAGGATTATGTTAGACGTGTTAGTAAGGTGATTCAATCATACAAAGGGCAGATTTTGGAGGAGTTCAGACTTCAGTTTTGCCTGACTGAGAAGCATAGAAGTTTTATTGATTGGTGTATCGAGTTTGCTTTATCTAAGAAAGTCAGGAAGCTGGATTTGGACTGCAATCTACCATCTGGAGCTTGTAACGGGATCTATGAGCAGCGTCTCTTCTACATGTCAAGACATAATGTAATTATCAAGGACGTCGATCAGCAAAAGAAGTATGCTTTTCGAGTAGGAGCTGCGAGCCAAGCTTCTACTCATGATATATCATCACCCGTTTGCAGGTCATTCCGTCGTTTTAAGTCGCTCACATCTCTATGTTTGAGGTCCGTCAGAATGACTGGGGATGTTCTGGAGGGTCTTCTGTCAACTTGTCCTATTCTTGAAACGTTGACTCTGCATCATGTCTATGACTTGGCCTGTTTGAAAATTGCTGGTCATTCTTTGAGGTTGAAGCACTTAGAGATAATCGGATGTGGTGAATTGGATAAAATCGAGTTATATGATGTTGTAACAATCGTTTCTTTTGTGTTATATGATGAAAGAGTTCGTGTTCATGCTCTGCCAGGCTGGTCTGATGAGAAATTTTTTCTGAGGAACCTTCCAGGCTTAGTGGATGTATCTTTTTCAATAATTTCAAAACTGGTGGTTCAGTTTCTTATGCTCTCCTCCCATGTTTCCCAGCTGAAGCATCTGAAGGTGGCTGTTTACCCGGGACCTCTGGTTAGTGTTCCAACTGATTCTTTCTTTAATTGCTCTTGCTTTGTTTGGTCATTCACATTAGGACCCTGGCTAAGATGATATTGTCTGCAGGTAGATCTAGACTATCCAATTATCCACAAACTTAATGGTCTGCTAGAAGAGGCATTGATCGGAAAGGAGACTAGTAACGGCTGCTTCCTGGATTGTGAGGAAAGACAATATAAGCAGGAGGATTTTCATCCGGCAGCTGACTGATTTGATTATCAGGATTATAGCAATCCAATTTACAGGAGTAGAATGTATAACAATACTAACACAAACTTCTTTGCCTGGTTTGTACTTCGCCATTAGCCTTTTTATTTGATAGACTTAACCGTTTAGTCCCTGGCATTTTAGAAACCAATTTGACAAGTGCTTCAACTCTTTCTTTTACTGAAATTCCATATGTCGTTTCTTTCAATTAAAAAATGCACTATCTAAAACGATCAAAGAACAGGCACTAATAAATATTCATCAACAATACAAATCTAAAGAGTAAATGACAAATACACTGCTGATTTCTCATTGCCAAATGCCAATCTTAATTGAAGAACACACAAGAAGAGGCAGAAAACACTACAATGTAGGGCACTCTGCAGTTGACAAAAGAAAGGAGTTTGCCTTTTTCCTTACTCTGGATAGCTTAACAACCCATCAAAACAAATAGAAATTGATGAGACAGGAGTAAAATGTGCAGCAAATTCAACATTCTGCAGAAGAAGAAAAAATCCAGAAAAATGGTTGCACAAGAAAATATGACGAAGGGCATAACTCGAAAAACACAGCCTTTACTTGAGAATATCTCCATGAAAGAATGCATCTTTTCTCCAAGTAAAAGCATCTTCATGATTCCAGAAACTCCATTGCTCCAAGTATATAAACACTCCACTCCTGATAGTGAACTAACCCGAAAAGGGTAATCCTACATAACTCAGGTCAGGTCCTGGATTTGCCATAGAGGTTCCTGTAGACAACTTTGGTACGATGCACGAGGATCAAGCTCAAGATAGCTGCAATGACACAGAATCCCGACATGATCATGCAAGTGAGGAAGTAACACACAGAGCCTTCACACTTCAATGTATCTTCGGCACTGAAAAAGTCTGTGAAGAATCTTCTCCCTGAAAGGAAGAACTGGGAATTTGGATTGTGAATTCCGGCTTGCTTCTCAGCTTCTCGATCATATATGCCACTTGCAATCATGCCTGAGAAGACGAGTGAGCCTGCAGGGTTTGCTAGTGTGAGGAAGTTGTAGAGAGCTCCAAACTTTTTCAGACCAAATAACTCAGAAGCAGTAGCTGGGACGATCGCCCAGTGGAATCCATAGCCACCGCCTATCAAGAGAGTGCCAATGTACATTGCCCCAGGCCAGTCAAAGGCAAAGAAGATGTGTCCGATTGCCATGACGAACTGGGCAGCTGCCATTGTGACTGGTCTAGGGTAAGCATAGTCCCTGTCATTACATAACAAATGGATCTCTAGCAGTCAAGCATAGAGATGTGATTGTCACCTATCATACTACAACGACATATTTGTTTAACCAACAGTATAAGAGCAAACAACAAAAGTTATCAGCATATTACCAAGAAATAATTTCATGGCAAAAAGAAAGGGCTGATCTATACCTGACAACTACCTCGGAAATGTAGCCACCACCAACTCGGCCCAGAAAGTTCCAAATGCTGATCATGGACACAAAGACATGTGTATTGTCATAGCCTAGTGACTGACTGAGCTGCCCCAAGTTATCAATGATGGTCAACCCAGATCCAGAACCCAACAAAAGCGAGAAGAAGATGAGCCAAAAGTCTGCCTTGATCAATGCCTGCCCCAACGTAAAGTCCTCTCCTCGATGAGGACCGCTCCTCCTCTTCACCCTCACTGCTCCTGCTGCAGCTGCCTGGAACAACTTTGCTTGCAACTGAGCAATCCTCTTCTGTCTCTCTGAGGCTGGGAGCAAGTCTACTTCCTTAGGCTTCTCGTCCTCCACCTCACTCAGTATCACCTCATGCCCATCTTGCTCAGACTGTGACGGTTGTCCTTTCTCATTCTGAGGGGAAAGGAGAGCCTCCACTGATGGATCACTCTGGTCAGGAGAAAAGAAGCTCAACCATATGGGTACTGCAATCGGAAGCACAAGGAGCACGAACAAGATGCCCGTGAAAGTTACGATTACTGTTTTACTCAAAGTGACTAGATCTTCAAGCAGCATGACTGCCATCAAGTAAGCAGCTAAGAGAATGCAGACACTGTAAATAAACGAGAAGCTTGTGCCATCAGATGGTCTGATTTGCCTATGGCCGCCAACTGGCCTGATTATGAACATCAGTGTGATGACTATGATTCCTGGTCCAACAGCAACCATGAAGATGAGAGATGCGTGATCAGGGGCATGTATCATGGTGTATATCTGTGTCAGGATTGCTCCACTTAACCCAGCGAACCCCTTCAGGATTCCGACGACTGGCCCACGGCTCTTGGGGAAGTTTTGCACGCATGAGACTAGAGCAACTGTGTTGAAGTAGGTTTCACCATTGTTCCCTATGAATATCAGAATGCACATCTGTTGTAGACACACAGGAAGGTTAAAGGTTTTCATGAGAACTAGGAAATGAAGGTTTCAAGCAATAGTTCAGAATCAAATTCTGAAAGGAATGAGTTTCTAATCATACACAGAACATTACTGAGCATCTGGTAAGAAAACTCGTTGCAGAGAGAATTTTTACAGAACTTATCATACACAGAATTAACTTTGGACTTGATCAAGCCATCTGTAGATAACAAATCACACATCAGGCAATCACAGATTCCTCACTTGTTTCTCTCAATCAAAACCGTGGATTGACTTTCAGAAATAGCAAATATACAATCCAACTCTCAGAAAACCATTTAAATTCAAGCAGCAAAGTTCTTCGACAAAAGTTCCCTAAAATAAACAGAGATAGGCAAAAGAAAATCAGCGAAAGAAATACTCACAGCCCATAACGGCAAAGGAGGAGATCTACCCGTGACGACCAGCCAAACCCAACCGTACCCAATCAGATTCTGGAAAGCACCAACTAGCAAAGCGCCCCAAAGCGGCAGAACCTCGCACAAGCTACCAGTCAAGAACCCTACGCTGTCCCCAAGATCCTTAGCCACTCCCAAGCTAGCCAGCTGACGTTGATTGTAGCTCAGCGAGCTTTTGATGACCGGGGATATGCTGCCGAACAAGTACCCGATTCCAGCCCACGACTGTATCCACATTGCTGCTACAAACACCAGCCATCTGTTGTTGAAAAACAGAGCAAACCTCTCTTGTATCTTCCCCATTAAACAAAAACTAAAACAGAGTCTGGGGCCGAGAAAGTTGAATCAAAGCAGAATCCAGAAAGGGGAATGGGTTGATGATTGCAGAGTAATCAAAACTTTGTAGAAAGCCTCCGACTTGGTTTAGCAGAAGTGGAACGGATTTTGGCTGGGGATAGGGGAAAAGGAAAGGAAGACGATGACTATGGTGACGAGGGCGATGATGAAGAAGAAGGGCGGCGGGGTTGTTGAGATCGATGATAAGGCTGGGAGCTCGAAGAGAAACGAAATGGAGAGCTTTTGGGAGAGGCGGCCTACTAGAGACTAGAGAGAAGAAAGAAGAGTGTGGTGTGCTTCACATGTCGGCTTGTGGTCAACGAAAAGCATCAAGGCTTACTTATTATCCTTGTTTTTTTTTTCGGATTGGGCTTCGTTGCCACAGCCTATTTACACATGTTTTTTTATGAGAACAGTTTTCATGATTTTCAACATTGCCCGAAAACAGAGACAGACAAACTACTAAATGGCACCTTAATTGCCAAGACTTGCATCAGTCCACCATCTCTTCTCCAGAGTTCAACTTCTGTATTCCCATGTTTATCTATAGTAGTACTGGTACACAATCAGTTTGTTTATACTCCATTTCTTGTCTAGACTTTCACAGTTCATAGAAAGTGGAGAGGAAGCTTTAGTAGCTGTCATTTCTGATTCCTTTATTCAAGGTTTGAAGAGAATGAGGAAGAGGGGAGGGAGATGGAGTTGCTGCAGGCAAAAGACTGGTTTTCCTGTGGGGAAGGGGAGCATGAATCAGATTTTCGAGAGTATAATCACAACGAATGTGCTATTTCCAGTTCTAGGAGATTGCTTAATTTATAGATTGGTTGAATCTCCTCATCATTCTGCACAATATCATCTTAGCTAAGGTCCTAATTGGAAGCTGAACCCAGAAAGCCAAATCAAACTAGGAACCAGTTGGAACACTAACCAGACGTATGTGATAAAACAATTATCCACAAACGCTCCAGCTGGCCAAGATAGGAAGACAACGCATGAAACTCATACGTCAACTTCAAAAGGTTGGAAATGAAAGGTCAATCAAGTGTGGTAGGTTCTTCATGAAAAAGGACCCCTTGATATTTTTACCAAATGCTTCAACCTCAAGAACTTTTACATACTCCAAGTCATTCACGTGCTGCAATGTTGGCATCTCAAGAACCGGACAATTTAACAGAATACCATCTGAAACATCCCTACCTATACTGACAGATCTCAAACATAGAGATGTGAGCGACTTAAACTGACGTAGGGATCACCTGTAAACTGGTGTTGATGAACCATGAGGAGTAGCTTGGTTCACTTCACAGCACCTACTCCAAAAGCATACAACTTTTTCTGATAGAAGTTGTTACATCTTTCATGTGGTAAATTCAAGTTCAACTCCAGCTTCTTGACTTGCTTATATAAAGCAAACTTGACCCACCAATCAACAAAAACGCTTATCCTTCTTAGTCAAGCCAAGCTGAAATCTGAACTCCAAACTGTTGCCTCTATATAATCGAACGACCACTGTCTTACATATTTGTACGTTAAGCATACACGTAGGTAATACAGTAACCTAAATGGGAAGAATGAGACACTGAAGTCTATATGAGGAACAAGCACCACAAGTACCTCCATCGAGTAGAAAGGAGACTGGTAAAAGCAGCTTCCTGAGAGGAACAAAAATAACTACGACTAAAATGATTTCAATGCATAGTAATTCATAGAATACACAATGAGTATGTTTGCTCCTTTCCTTTTTTCCTACAACAGTGAACATTCGCACTATCAATATAGTAACACCCTGCAATCATTTTTAATGTTAATATATGTACCTACTAAAACTAAAGTTCTCTCCTTTTATCCTTCTCGCTTCTCCCTATCTCTAGCTACCAAGTTCTGTAAGAGGGGGAACAACCAAAATCCACTCACAAAACTTAGTTTCTCACATCATAAACAACTGGACTGCCCAGATGAACAATACTGTAATACTTATCATCCATCTACGAGACCCGATAAAACTCGAAGATGATTTCGACGATGAAGAACCTTTGGTCTCGGTAACACCAACAAGAAACCTACACTCACCAACAGAAGGGTCCAAGAAAGTCACCATACCAAGGCCGTCAAAATCACAACTCCTCTCGTCCTGCATCTTCAACTGGTAGAAACTATTAAATGCGTAGGAAATATTCCCCTTCACCCCAATCTCGTTGCACGACCCTCCATAGTTTAGCGTCGTGCAATCGGCAACACTACAAGCGATCCTCATGTGGTTTGCCACATTAGTCAAGTCTTTCGACGAATCCACCACACACCACCTCGAAGGAAGGTACTCAACATTCTCTGCATTCTTCAGATTCTTGTTTCCCTGGCCTAGATTCAAGGCATACTTAGCTTGACCATCGAATGAGAAGATCCCCCAGTGCCTCTCGAAGTTCCCAGGAAGCACGCTCTTGGCACCTTCATCGAGTAGACCGAAGATATAGACATCCATGGGAGGCGAACCGGGTCTAAGAGGGGTACCTTTGTTTCCCACAACATGGTTGATCAACCCTTGATTGAATACTTTTGCAGCAGTGAGATTTGCACCAGGAGCTCCATCACTTGGCCACCCTACCTCTCCAATGACAATAGGCATTTGGCCATACCCGAGTTTGGTGAGTGCCGACACTAAGGTGTCGAAGTTGCCATCAAAGGCATTGGTGTAGACATTAGGTCCATCAGTGACAGCATGGGTGGTCCCCTCGAAGAAGGCATAGTCTTGGGGGAAATCTGAGTTGCCGTAGAGACTGAGAAATGGGTAGATGTTGACTATAAAGGGAGCGCCATTGGAGTTGAGGAAAGAGACAAGTTGAGTGATGATCTGAGTGAGCTCTGGACGGAATGCTCCTTGGGAAGGGAGAGAAGGAGACTCGTATGCATCAGCATTGCAAGGGACGACTAGCCTCACATATCCAGCGAGATTAGCCTTGGTTAGAGACTGTTGGAGGTTTAGCAATGCAGGCATGACATATGTTTGGAATTGGCCAGAGTAGCTCGTGAGGAATGGCTCATTTCCCACAGCTATATATCTGCAAAATTCAAAATGGAATGTGTCCGTGAGAAACATGTTTCCAATGAGTAAAACCTTATGAATGCTATCAACTTTCAGATTCTTCAGCACTTGCCAACTGCAAATCACAATTAAAACTTTAAGCTGAGCACGATGCTACGAAGATAGACGGTAACAGAAACATAAAAACATGAAGTTGCAGATTGAGAGACGGATGACTCGATCTGGCTTCGAATTCGATGATGGCTAAATTTACAACAACTTAAATTTGCTTGTCAATCCCTAGTAAATGATCCCGAGGCCAGGCAAGCTTTATTAGAACTCCAAGTTTGCAAATGGGCCTAGAGCTACCATCCAGACAATCTCTCCATACAGTTGCCTAACCAAGTGCTGCAACTTGAAATCAACACTAACTTGACAGAATTCATTCCTGAATTCTGGCTCTCATACTGGTCTTCACTCTTCATTCTTCATCCATTTTAAATCAAATTTAGGGGAAAACACACCAAAAAGCAAGATAAACACGGCCCTAAAACAGGAAAACTAATAAACATCAGTAACTATCAAGCCAAGTTCACTAAGAAACACACATCAACCAACCAAAAGGAACGAACTTTATCAAACCCCTTTACACCTTTCCTCCCAGAAACCAAAGAAACAAAGGGAGAATTCTGGAAAAGTACCTGATATCAGCACCGCCTTTAACCATGTACCTAGAAACATTCTGGCGAACCCACAAATCAGAAGCTGAAACCGAAGAACTAATGGTGGAGAGCAGCTCGTTAGGAATTCCCACCATGACCTGAATCCCACTCCCCATCAGTGCTTCCAGTGCACCCGGGTCCGCATCAAATAGCTTCACCTTTCCAATCTTGTTCTCCTTCAACAGATCCACCACCGTCGACGGCTTCAGCCGGTGAAAAGACACTGTTCCCCAGTTCACCCCGATGGCCGATTCCGCGAATCTGCATCTCAGAATCGCCAGCAGCAGCAGGAGAAGCAAGTTGCTTGCTCCTTTCCTTGGTGGGGACATTGGGAATGAGAGAAAGCTTGCTCCTTTTCGCTGGGTTCTTCTTCTTCTTCCCCTTTTCGGCTGATTTCGTAGTGTTCTGACATTCAATCTTCTCTCTTCGTGTCGCCCATTACTTCATTGGACTTCAAGCATTTACTTAGAAAAGAGTTCGGGAAACTTGTGATGTTTTGATGGTCGTGAGCTGGTGGAAGGACACCGGAACGAAGGGAGTGGCAGCAAGGGGCAGAGACGCAGAGTAGAGAGATTTGGGCAACCGCTGATAGGGGAAAAGGGGGGAAAAGGGTAAAGCTTGGGAAGATGTGTGAAAGAGAAGGTTATATAATGATATTGGCCGGTGAATACTAAACTATAATGGTGCTTTGTCCCCGAGATAATGTCTAAATTGCCCTCGATAGTTTTACTTTTGTTGTTTTGCGCACAAGAAGTGAACTTTTACTTTCATTTTCTCTAACCTAGTAAATAGTAATCTCACAAAAGAACACTTAATTAACTTTCATGGTTGTAAATTAAATTTTTGGATAAATAGGATTGTTCCTAGTTCCATTCAACTCTTTAATAGTGAAATGTTTCATGAAAATATTGATTTGAAGCGAATGTTTCGATTTGATTCATGTAAATACATTACAAGTAATGATTTATTTATTTTCATTAATGAACTCTAGGATAAAGTTTAATATTCAGATGTTGTATCTTCTGCTTCATGTCCAAACTAACAAAGCTTATGATATTGTTGTTTGCTCATTTTAAACAAAGATATAATTAAGCAAGAACAATGAGATTTGTGGAGGCATTGTTTTTCCTTCTCTCTTTTGGAGTAGATTGGGGATTGGTTGGTGTAGGGCATGATGGCATCTATCCATTTAGATGATGATATAGACATTTCACCCTAGTTAGGGAAACATCTCACATATTCTCCTATTGTTGGTCTAAAGGTTGACACTTGGGAGTCCAATAGCATAAAGCAATTGTAGTTAAGAGTGATACTAATCACAAGCCTCTTGACAAAACTTAAGCCAAACAAGAGATGTCTCTCACTATCATCTAGGAAGAAAGATGGAAACCTCATTATGTTCATTTTTCTTATCTTTTATTAATTATTTTATGAACTATTATAATATTCGTATACGTATGTAACATATTATTTGATATTAGACAATTTAAAAGTAAATAACTTCTATAAAGTTTAAAGATATGATAAGATTTTGTAAGACATAAGAACCTTTATGATTCATCTCAAGTTGACAAATTATAAGGTACATAGACAAGAATGTTTATCTTCTATATTTGATAATGTAAGAACTAAAATCATCAATTTGTGATTTTAATGAGTACTCATAAGATACTCACAATATATATTGATCTCCATAATTCGCGTACTTTTAATTAGTGGAGTAAGCTTGAAATTTACATGTATTTACACCTTAGCCTTAACCACTCTTAACTAGTGATCTATGAGCTTGACTATATTGTAATTTAATTTGAAGGGGGAGACGAGAGTCGATTACTCAAGAACACCATAAACATATATTTAGGCTAGATGACATCACTAATCCGCTAGTGACATAAAATAAATGAGTGTAAAGTGTACTTGATACCAAATCGGAGTGTGTCCAATGACTCGTTATTAATATTGTTTAAAATAAAATTATCTGGAATTTTTGTATTTTTTACGAGATCATTTTCAATTGTTATCATAGTCATTTCATCGAAAACTTTATATAGGATTTTTTGAAATACAAACAATACTTTAACAGTTATTATACGTATCTATTATATACGTGAGAGTATTGATCAATATCTAATATCAATTATCCTGGTACACTACAAATACAACCTAGAATATATGATCAGATTAACTAACACGAAAGCTTTGACTATTGAGGTCTGCCAAGTGCCAACACAACCTCTTGGCTGTCCCTGCCGACGACTCTCTCTCTCACACTACTTCCAACTTCCAAGTTCCAATATGAGATGAGAGAAAAAGGCCAATGAGGCCGCCATGAATGCATCTTGGCCATATGTGTGCAGGCTAGCTCTGTTCCTTCTTTCTTTCTTATCATGATATGCTGCTGCCTCTTCCTGGAAATAAGGCTGGCTGCTGAAGCTAAGCTCCAAAACAATTACATGTGCATGGCGTTTCGATTTGGCATTAATCAATCAATCAATCAATCCCCTCTTCCATATTAACAAAGACACGTGTTCCTCAAAGTATAGTGCTCTCTGTCTCTGTTGCTTTTCGCAACCAAGTGAATCGTATAACTTTCCCAGGCTGCCCTGTTGCGTGTCCCTATTCGTGCATGTCGTCCATCGATCGTTAATTTAGCTACTTAATTAACAGATGAGGTGTAGTTAACCGTCTATAAATGGGTACCTGTTAGATTAAATATGTATCAGAAATTTAAGTATGTTATTAGAATCAGCGGCGGATCTAGGGGGCCGCCCGGGCCACGACCCATGCCTCCATAGATCCAAAACTCGTATAGTACTTGTAAATTTTCTATTTTGAGTATATATTTCAATGTTTATAGGGTTACGATCCAGACCTCTCCACTGCTTTTTAAATGCGGTCCAGGGTTTGGACATGAATGAATATATATATTTCATTAACCTTTGCATTCCTCGCTAGGTTAAATTAGCGAAACTATAAAAGTTTGAAATTCTATATTGTACTAGTGGCCGGCTCAACAAATTAAAGAACGGGAAATTAGGAAATCATGATCAACCTATCATCAATATAGAAATGAAAACTTGTTGAAACGTTTCTTGTTCTTTAATATACAGTCTCAATCATAATTTTCACCGTGAATCTTGATAATGTTACAATTTGAAAAGCATCTAGCTAGTACAGTAGCATTGTTATTGGTGGCACCATGGGAGAGGGTCATTGCAATTTGCATGATTGGTACTTGTGTAGAAGCAGAATCTCAAGATCTATGTTCCATCTAATTTGCTCGTGGAAAGTCATCTGCCATGGAATTAAAAAGGAGACTATCAAATGTTTCCTTTACTTTGGTCTTTCACTCTTGGATTAATCAAATAGATGTTTAGCAAAGGTAATTACATGATGATAATGATGGAGGATCATCACCTTGTCTTTATTGCTTGGCATTGATATTGGAAATCTGACTTTGCTGTATTCTAAAGATTTCCCTAGCTAGTCATAATTAATGTATACCAGCTATATTTCAAGTGCAAAACCATCTTACCTATATGATGGTTTAACGCATGGAATTCAAACATGTAATAATCACTTCCTCGATAAATATCCAAATTAACAAGTCGAAAAGTTTAACTTAATATATAATAGTGCATATAAAAGGTATATCGATCCAACGGTCAACCGATGATCATGATCACATCGAATCAACGGCGTTCCCTGTCTTCCTCACAACGAGGGGACTCCTTACGACATGCTTCCCGTCCGACCACGTGATGTTACCAAACAGATAACCGGTTCCGACGTTGTTCATTGCCTCCAAACTCACCGTGTACTTCTTCGACTGATTCACCCTACTGAACCTCAACACTCTGGGACTCACCCCGACGGTGATTCCAGCCGGCGCACCGACACGAACCCGGTACACCCCCGGCGTCCCCACATTCTTCACGGTCCGCGTCACGTTCACTTTCCCCGACAGGTTAGGCACGGAGATGGACGGGTAGTTGAGGTTCGACAAGCTGGTGCTGGTCTTCGGCGGACACTGGTACGGCTCCGGGTAGAAGACGGCGATCTGTTGCTTGGTGTAGCCAATGTAGCAGAGGAAGTTCACGTAGTCGGTTGTGTTCATCTCGTAAACCAGCCCCGGCGATGCTGCCGGGTTGGGAGCCACGTGTCCCGCGCCATAGTTGAAAGGGATGGCCTTGGCTCCAGCTTCTGTGTTGATGGGTTTGCCTTTGTTGTTTGTTGCTTTGGCTGATAAAAAAAAATGTGCAAAAAGTTCGTCCTCACAACACAGAGAGATTCGAAAATAAATCTTATATCAGATAGTGACACGCTACGGTTTAAATTACCCGTGGTGATGATGGCTGATTTTATGGCTGCGGGGCTCCATTTAGGGTGAAGAGTCTTGAGCAGGCCAGCAATGCCACTAACATGGGGACAAGACATGGATGTTCCTGATATGACGTTGAAAGGGAGACGACGACTGTCGTAAGACTGACCCGTCGGCCCGTTTGCTTGAGTCCATCCGGCCATTATGTACACACCGGGCGCTGTGATATCTGGCTTCAAGATCTCTGGTGTCAACCGGTTAGGCCCCCGAGATGAAAATCCTGCCATGACTGGAGCCTCAACCTTCCCAATCTCTGTGTATCCGATGAGGTAAGCGACTGGCTTCCTGAGAACAGAATTTTTGAAAACAAAATGTTTTGAGATGATCTCGTGCAATCTCAAATACGTAATTTTAAACGTGTCAAACATGTGACATATCTAATCGATGAAGCTAGTTTGGATGTTGGATCGACTTACGATGTGTTGGAAATGTAGCGGGCAATGGCATCTCCATCTTGCTGAGAGATGGTTGAAGTCGGGATGAAATGAGCTTGCGGAGCTAGGGCTGCAGTGAATGTGTTGGCGAGGATTACCCCTACGCCTCCGGCCTGTGAGACCACGTAGCTTTTCTGAACATCTACGCCGCTCCGGCGGCAGAGGACTATCTTTCCCTTCACCTTGGCCGGATCCAAGCTCCCAGGGTAGCAATACAACCTAACAGAAAAACCCAATCACAATCACTAATGTTGTCTACTAATTAATTAAGTCAAAGCCAATAGATCAACATGGATAATATAACGGAGTCTTACGCTGATTGGTTAGAGGCACCGGGGGCTTTGACGCTGACGGAATTGACGAGAGGGTAGAATTTCTTGGACGGTAAGGTATTGCTCTTGAAGCTGATCCCCTTGTATCGCTTCCCGTTGCCAATCACGGCGTCGGAGAGGAACCGCCGGTCGAGCGTGCTGGCGGCGACGGTGATGATCCACGGAGCCACATTCGTCACGGAACCGTCAAACCCAGAGTTCCCGGCGGAGCAAACGACGGTAATCCCCTTCCTGACGGCGTGAAAAGCCCCGATGGCGATGCCGTCCCTCGAATAATCCCCCGGTATGAACGACCCTAAGGAGACGGAGATGACGTCGACCTTGTCGTGGATGGCGGCGTCGAACCCGGCCGTGATGTCGGCGGTGAAGCAGTTGCCGTTGTCGTTGCAGACCTTGTAGGCGGCCACTCTGGCTTTCGGGGAGCCGCCTTTCGCTGTCCCGTTGGCCGATCCGAGGAAGTTGGCCTTGGGGACGAACGCGCCGCCGGCGGTGGAGAGCGTGTGGGTGCCGTGGCCGTTGACGTCCCGCGGCGAGCTCCCCGGTTGGCCGTTGTTAAAAGCTCTGGCTCCGATCAGTTTCTTGTTGCACTTGAATGATCCGCCGGCGGTGTCGCATGTTCCGTTCCACCGGGATGGAATCGGTCCGTATCCCTTGTCGTTGAAGAATGGCGACTCGGGCCAAACACCTGCCGCCACGTGTCCAAACACATTAAAAAACCTCAAGCTAATCGAACGATATATGAAAGCGTTGACCAAAAAACGATTGTGAAAATCCTGTACCTGTGTCGAGGGTTGCAATGATGCGATCTTTGCCGTAGTCGGTTTTTTTCCAGAGGGAGTTGGGTGGGACGACGCCTTTGCTGTCTTCTAGCCCCATGAAAGCCCATGACCTTGTCGTTTGGATTTGGTATGCTTCATTTGGTAGCACTTGTAACACTTGTGGATGTCCTGCATGCACATCATCATCATCGTGAATTTTTTTTGCTCAAAGTGTTAAGTGAAACAAATTGCATCGATGATATCTCGTTTGTACGTACTTTCGAGTTGTTCTAATTCATCATCTTCGAGGGTTGCTGCGAATCCGTTGATGATTCCGGAGTAGGAATAGAAGATGGCTTCTCTAGCCTTCTCTTTGCTGCATTATTAGGAATCAAATTAATTAATTAACCGCTACTAAGTAATCAAACTCTTAATACACACAAAACGTGAAGACGACAATAAGCCATTTACCTTTCCATGCAAGAAGCCAGGAGGTGATGGTAGGTGTGGCTCATCTCATCGCCACCCAGCTCCTCTGTCGATGAGCCAAGCAAATCCCTTCTCAGGTACACAACATACGACTGTACATACATAATAAAACCTTAGACAAAGATCAGTCATCATGTTGTTCCATCAATACTTAATCCCAATCAGCCACTCTAAACCACTTTCTGATATATATAACACAGAACTAATTAATTACCTTGTCCGCAGCCATTGCAGAGTTGAGGATACACAAGGAAAACAAACCCACCAAACACAGACTAAACTTCTTCATCATCGTTATACTTTGCTGTTTCAACTGATGATCATCTATGTGCAGGCTTAATTATTGCTTATATAGGTAATTAGGCGACGTGAGAAATGGATCATGTGCATAGTTTAATGAATTAATTACGACACATATATATATATATAGATGGATAGATATGACTTGCGAGGAAGGATTGATCATCAAAGTAATCCACCAGGAAAAGCCATCTCTTAGCTGATAGTTGGTACTGACTACTTACTGATGTTATATCAAATAAATGTATTGGATATTTAGCTTCTATACATAAGTTTTGTTGATGTTGGGTGTGGAGGTGGAAGACTGGGCAATTTACTGTAATCTAATTGGTTGGTTCGAGCATGACTCAACGTTAGGCCAAAATACCAGTATTGGTTGGTTTGGCTGGAATTTTGCACCTCTGACACATAGATCCAATACTCAACCGTTTCTGGAAAGGATTTAGCTTCCTGAATCGTCACTAATCATCAAGTGGGTAATAGAATAATCTTAGATTAATTAGCTTGATTTTTTTTTCTCTCATTGGATCACTCGAAAAGATGATGCAAATCGTTCGATACAAAGACGACAACATCATACATATAAATAACTTCACAATCAATTAACAAAATCAAATCCCCACAGCAATCGGGACGACATAAACATGGTCTGAAGAACCACCAAATGCACCACCACCTATTACAATTACAACCAACAAAACACGAATAGGTAAGGATTAATTAGCTTAATTACATTTCATTCAGATAGTAAGTGGGTCCAGCCCAACTATTCTTACCGCTCAAGTCTTGCATTAGGCTGTGATTGGACTAATTCACTCTCTGTCTTCTTTCGAACAATGGGACTCTTGAGTCTTGACATAGTGTACTCCATCTGACCAAGTCAGTCCACATCGGGTTGTAGGCTTGTAGCCCTCTATCAATCATCTGTTTGAAAAATGCCACAGCACCCTTCATATCATTTTCTTTGCAGCGTGCGTCTATCAAAAATAAATATAAGAAACAGGATCAGGCTCCATGCACCCATTAGTTTACCATACAAGAAGGTTCTACTACAGCATTGCTGCTGTTGATTTCCTTATTCCTACTTTTCTTGCACCTTATTTCCTTCAATTCCCCCTTCAGCAAAACTTTATAAGTGATGACATCTGGTTCAACCCCTTTGGCCTCCTGCAATAAAGATGCATCATCATTGTGTATGTCACCACATCTGGGTTAATCCCGTTTGTCTTCACTTCTTTGAATAATTTCAGGGCCTTTCCCATCTCTCCAGCATGCAAAAGCATGCTTATGACTCTGCTGCACACAATATTCAGATAATTAACCAGCTGAATACACTTCTCGATATCATGTTCCAAACTGGAAAGCCACTTCAAACAAGAACGTTTCTTCAGCAAGTGCCCTTTTTCAGCCAGATAAATAAAAAGAGCAAAGGCCTTCTCTGACCCTTTTGTTGAGCAGTAAACATTAACCATGACACAATAGATATTCAAGCACTGGTTTCCAGTTCGGCCAAAAAAGCTTTTGCATCTTCCAATTTGCCTCCAGTGGATAGCCCTTCAATGATGACATTGTATGTTCCATTGTTAGGTTCAATCCCATAGTCCTTCATGTAGTTTAACAAGCACTTCACTTCTTTAGTAAAATCCAATCTAGCCAAACCAGAAGCAAGTAAATTATAAATTATGACATCAGGCCTAACCCCATTTCGCTTCATCGATTCGAATAGTTTCATGGCCTCATCAAGATTACCCTTATCGCAATAACCACTAAAGACAGTAGTATAGTTAACGACATCAGGAGCCACACGCTTACCTTTCATCTCCGGTCAGCAATGCAGCAGCCTCTTCCACCTTCCCTAGCTTGCAAAGCCCCTTCATATCTCCATTTCCTGAAGAACACCCAATGCTTCCTTCAAGCAACCTTTCTCACATAATGCCTTAACAAGAAATCCATTAAGTATGTTGATTAAGCTGCAATCCAATGCGGTCCTCCAGCTCCGTATAAAAATGGCCAGAGCAGAGTCAACCTCACCACACTCAATCAAACGGTTGATGAGAAATTCAGATCGGTTCTGCTTCCACCATAGCTCCAGATTCACCGAAGCGAAAAGCAGTAATCGTCCATATATATCGCACAAGAACCAGAAACCTCCGATTCTCCCAAGTTCCACAGTACAGTTCCCTGCAGTCGCCAAAGAACCCAATTCTTCATTTATCTTCTATCTATGCTTTGAGAATGTTATTCAACTGATTTTTCAGCAGATTATTCCAAGTGTTCCATTGACATGGTAGATTCCAACCTACACATTTTGAAGGCCAAGCTGCTGATCACTGAAACAAAATGCTAACTTTTCAATTGGATTATCACTTGTTGTTCTTGAGATCAAATACACAAAAACAAACAACTGGAACTGTTGCACAACCAAACAACATTACAGGCAGGCTCCTAGCACTACAACTTGCTCCATCGCATCACAACAATGTCGAATTGAATGAAAATGAGCGGTACGAAGTGACTAACCTAGTCCATTTCAGAACTCAAGCCCATTCTCCCGAGCTGCATCAGCAAGCGCTTTTACTCGTCCATGGTATGGGTAACCCCCTCTGTCAAATGCCACTTTCGTTATCCCTTTCTCCAAGCATGCCTTGGCTATAGCTTCACCCACCTTCTTTGCTACCTCCTGATGAGTAGAACCAGAAGATAAAGTCACAAAACAAGCACTAACCGAGCAACGCCAGAATAAGCAATTCAACAATCTCTCACTGCACAATCCACACTCTAACCCCAAATTGGCATTCCCAAAATTCTTTCAAGGCCTGTTTATAAATCCATCTCGACGCTCAATCCTAAAGCAAGCTCCTTTTGTTTCAATACCTGCAGCTACACAAAATTGATTGCTTCTGAGCATTGAACACACTCACAATGGTTGGCCCCGAGCTGAAATTGAGCTCTTCCGCGAGCAGCTTCTGCATTGTGGAGGCCGCGGCGAGGGTGTGCATCTTGGAGTCATCGATCACCTGGACGTAGAAATGCTTGTTCAACCTATAACAAAAATTCACAACAAAAAAGGGGACGTAAAAATGGCCAGAGCAGAGTCAACCTCACCACACTCAATCAAACGGTTGATGAGAAATTCAGATCGGTTCTGCTTCCACCATAGCTCCAGATTCACCGAAGCGAAAAGCAGTAATCGTCCATATATATCGCACAAGAACCAGAAACCTCCGATTCTCCTAGGTTCCTCAGTACAGTTCCCTGCAGTTGCCAAAGAACCCATTCTCGAAATCGAATTAATCCCAATTGGATGCAAGAATCTGGGCACAGTTCGTGACTGGAATATTTTTCTCTGCTGTTTACCCGTATTTTTATGCAATCGTCGGATTTTCCCCTCTTTTCCCCTTCAATGTTCCAGCTTTTCGACGGGAAAATTCATACCGGGTCAATATCTCGCAAAAAGTCAATATATCGCATAAATATCGCGAGATCTCGTAATATCGCGAGATATCGGCAATTTATCTTTCTCGGAAATTTCTCGTCAATTTCTCGCGTTTCGATTTTGGTTTTGAGGACCCGAAACGTTTCGCGTTTCGTCCGTTTCTGGTACCCGTTTCTTCGTTCTGTGAGACCTCCCTGTTTTCGCCGGACTGGGCCTACCCTGCTCACGAAACGGCGCGGCATTTCTAGTTCTTTGGGCCTTCGGATAATTAGAGAAAAATGTCTTTGGGCCCCTTGTCCAACGAGAGCCCAGTTTTACCGGGCCGTCTGCCTCCCTCCCTGTCCAAACTCTTGCTGGGGTTTCGTTCATTTGTGCCTTCGATTAATAAAGAAGATCCCTTCTTAGCCGTTTCGCCCGTCTCTGAAACCCGTTTCGCTATTTTGTGCGGGTTTCTCGTTTTCGCCGGCCATAGGCCTGCCCTCCCCAACGAAACGCCACTTGTTCATCAAACTTTTGGGCTTTCAGTTAAATATAGAAGAAGCTCTCTGGGCCTTTGTCTAAAGAAAGCCCAGTTTTTTCTGTGCGTATACCTCCTCAATCCTCATCCCTTCCCTCCAGCTTCCCTCTTCCAGCAGCGAATCCCTTCCTCGAGTCCTCCTCTCGCCCGCCGCCACCAGCCACCGTCGTTCAACTCATCCCTCGCTGAGAGCCAGATTCATATCGGCAGTTGGGTAAAAGAATGGCGGGCGGCAAGATGAGAAAAGAGAAGACCAAGGCGCCGCCGACGGCGAGCCACTACCAAGGAGGAATATCGTTCCACAAATCCAAGGGCCAGCACATCCTCAAGAACCCTATGCTGGTCGACAGCATAGTACAGAAGTCCGGCATCAAGAGTACCGACATCATTCTCGAGATTGGTCCCGGTACCGGAAATCTCACCAAGAAGCTGCTCGAGGCCGGCAAGTCCGTCATCGCCGTCGAGCTCGACTCTCGCATGGTGCTCGAACTTACGCGCCGCTTTCAGGGGACTCCTTTCTCTAATAAGCTTAAGGTAAACTTTAACTCAAATTGTTTTGCTCTCTCTGAATTGGTGTGCCAATATTGTAGTCTTGTGGCGTTGTGGTTTAAGCTAGTGAGGGAATTGGTTGCTATTGAAATTTCCCTGGGTTCCTGCGTGAAAAATGGGCACTTTGGTGAAGCTTACGTTGAATTGGTGTCTCCAATATTATAGTATTGTGGCGTTGTTTTTTTAGCTAGTGAGGGAACTGGTTCTATTGAAATTTCCCTGGGTTCCTGAGCGAAAATGGGCACTTTGATGAAGCTTAAATTGAAATTTAAGATGAACTCGCGAGTCATTGTTGGTTATGTTCTAATAAGCTTCAACGGTGATAATAAAGTTTGCTTCTTGATGCACCTTGTAAGACTCTGGTCCCCTTCTCTGATTCCGGATTGCTCCCATACGGGACAAGCAAGAATTGCCTGAAGAATGATTGCTATGATGTCTGTTTTCCAGCTCGTTTGGTGGCTAAGACCTTTACTTCCATGATTCACACCTATTCTTCTCTCTGATTTGTTGTGCTCTTATATTGTATATAGGTCATTCAAGGCGACGTGCTAAAGACCGATCTACCATACTTCGACATATGTGTGGCCAACATTCCCTACCAAATCTCATCACCCCTCACATTCAAGTTACTCAATCACCAGCCTTCATTCAGGTGTGCGGTCATTATGTACCAGAGAGAATTTGCAATGAGACTCGTTGCTCAGCCAGGGGACAACCTCTACTGCCGTCTCTCTGTCAATACACAGCTCTACGCGAGGGTCTCACATCTTCTCAAAGTCGGGAAGAACAATTTCCGTCCCCCACCAAAGGTCGATTCCTCTGTGGTCCGAATCGAGCCCAGGAAGCCTCGCCCTCAAGTCAACCCTAAGGAGTGGGACGGCTTCATACGAATTTGTTTCATCCGAAAGAACAAAACTCTTGGCGCAATATTCAGGATTAAAAATGTGCTTTCGTTACTGGAGAAGAACTACAAAACTCTCCAAGCACTGAATACGTCAGGCGCTGCTGAGATGGATATTTCAGGATTGGGGGAGCTAGGGGGAGGGGAGCAGAGCGTGGAAATGGATGCAGACGACGACGATGATGATGAAATGGAGATGGAGGAGGATAAAGAAGCGGCAAATGGAAGGTCGGAATTCAAAGAGAAGGTTGCTGCAGTGTTAAAGGAGAAGGATTTTTGTGACAAAAGGTCATCGAAACTGTCACAGGAAGAATTCTTGTATCTGCTCTCTCGATTCAACATGGCTGGCATCCACTTCTCTTGAGCTTTCTGTGAGCTGTGGTGGTTGTTATCCTATTAGGCTTCTCCCTCTACCTTACTCTCTATTGATTTCCTGGTGAGTTTTGCTGATGAAATCTTTATAGGAGGATGTAGCAATGTAGTTTTGTTCTGATAATTATAGTGGACACAAAAAGAGTATTTGTTTTGTGTGGCATGAATGAAGATTATATGTTTGTCTTTGCTGACTGCTGTCCTGCTTGTTCATCTGTACTCTAGTTATCTACTCTACTCCCTTCTGTTCGACTGATAATTCAGAATTCTATTGCTGCAATCACAAATGTCAGATGAAATCACAATCTGTGCTTTAAGCAAGCAGCTTCTACTTTGGTCAAGGTATCAAACAAGGTTGTTTATGATTGCAGAAAGAAAGTGCGTGTAAAGGGTCTCGCCTGATATTATGCAGGTGATGAACACTTCCACCGGAGTCCAGCTGAATCGAATTGCCGGCGGCCACATTGGATTCTATTTGGACTACCGCCGTTCTTAACTGCCAAAGTGACACTAAATGATAAAATAATAAGAAGAAAATCAACAATCTTTGTAAGGTTCAAGAAAACATGAAAAGACTGTTAACAAAACTCTCTTAATCCGAGCTATTAACTCGTTACTTATTACTTCTTAATCCACATTATAAAAACCCACTCCAAGCTTCCCCTCCTTCTCACTCCACACTCTTCAATTCTCTCATCATTTTTCATCCCAAGAAAGGAAAAAACAAAAATCTCTCTTTTGTCAATCTTATCATCATGAAGGCTCTCTTCCTCCTTGTTCTTATCTTAAGCACAAGTAAGTATGATAAAGATCAAGCTCCTAATTAACACATCCTTCCTTAGTTATTATCATCAGTGAGTTAACCCCATCAATTAATTAACTTGTGTATTGCAGCAGCACCAATGTTGGAAGCACAAACCTGCACAACAGATTATGATTGTCGTATATTTTATGGATGTCGAGATTGGATTACTTGCGACCAAGGCATATGTACCGGTTGCGAGTACCCTTCTCAACAAGCACTCACCAATTACACAGCAACTCATAATTAAAGACAAATAATTAGAGACAATTAGTTTGATTAGTTTCTATAGCTAATCTTTCGCTTAATAAATACTATTTGTCTCACTATCTCGTATTATTTATCTTTCTTATGTAATATTCTCCTAATCTATACTAGCTCTATATCCTGCCATTAGACAGGTAATTAATAAGAATAATAATTAGTTTAACATCATAAGTAAACTATTGTTGATTTGATAATAGTTTTTTATTTTATTTTGATGTAATATGTTTATCAACATAATACTTGTTTTTCTAACATGCAATCCATCTTAGGTCTTCTAAACTTTTTTTACTCAATATTGTCGAGATTTCTCATCTAACTGTTATACCCTCCCACCAACGAACTACCGAGCCATGCAAGTCGTTAACTTATCTGATGAAGGAAAAACGAGAATGAAAATTGGGACATGAAGTGCATTCGATATGGTTGGTTTGATTCAATTTCGATTAAGCCATCCGATGAAATATTATAATTAAGGAATTAAAATCAAATGTTAGGAATCAAAGTATAGGATACAGTACACACATATATGACTCAATTCGAGCAATGGAGCCCTTGGTATTCCATATGCATTTTGTCATTCTAAACATAAAGGTAGTAAGTTAATGATTCCGGATATTAATGAAATATGGAGACTTTTAGGACTAATGTATTATCCAATTCATTCTCACTTCTCAAATATTTTAACTTGTTTTTGTTTGATTCGTTATGACCTCTTGAAACTTCAAAGCAAACAATAAGTGTAAGGATCGAGATGGTACCAACGTAAACAAAATTGAATCATAATACATGCTCGACATAATTATGATCTTCTCTCTTGTTGTATCTTTGGATGAATCTTATGCTAATTAACTAACTTAACATAAACATCATTGTTAGCCTTGCTCTACACATATTATTTAATTAACAATACTTAGATCGAATAATACTCTTCGAGAACAATGAAGAGTGTGAACACGATTAAGGATTAATTAAGACTCCCTTCATGTTGATTGTTGCCAATAAACCGATCGAGCACCAACAATCCTTTGTTTTCCTTTCTTTTGGATGGCCCTAATTAACTTTTATTTGGATATCTTATAATTAAAAGAAGATTCCATAAATGTTATTGGAGGGGGAGATGAAACCAATGGAGAAGAATTGATCAAACCATGCATATCATTATCAAAATCCAATTCCATCTCATTTGATTTTTCTTCTTCTCGTAGCTCATCCATTTTTCCTTGAACTAATGAACCTTACATGATATTATGTATTGTTCTAAAACATATATGTATATTCTAAAACAGCAATTAAAGTATATATTTAATTTGGTGGGAGGCCAACACTGCCTTTCTATTTGTCTTATTTAGTGGTCCCAAGTCCAACCCACCACATAATTGACAATTGTCCCTTTCTTCTTCTTCCTCTCCCTTTGGAATCTTCACTGTGTTTATCATTTAGTTATGATGTTCATTAAACAACCATCATTCAACATATATAAAAAGTTGGATTATGTTTGCCTTGTTTCTTTGACATCTTCCATGCCTGCTATATGGCTCACATGAACCCACGAGCAAACGAGTTATATATTGCTCATGAATACAATGTTACTAATACTAGCTCACCAATTACAATCATGTCCATCATATATCAAAAGATGTGAGTCATATTAACCATTTTGAAGGGAAGAAAGATAAAATGAGTGATTAGAACCAATACCGAAGCCATAACTTAGAATAAGTATAGGGGTTGAAAATAACAAACTGCAATAGTTTTTTTTTGTGATTAAACCTAAATATGAGATAAGGGACCTAATAACCTCCATTATACTATTTTCTAATGTTTTCTCAAGATATGAACGGAAATTGAGAGAGGTTGTAGTCCCACTTAAACTGCACGTAGCCGCTGATTAGAACAAAAGAGAAAGGGTTAGTTTGGGATGATGGAAAAAGGGAAGAATTAATCCAAATGAAATTAGGTAGAATCTATTGAGGGTGGGGACTGAGAAACCCAAGCAAAGGCCCTCCTTTTTGGCTTTATCTTTTGGTTTGAACTATTTGTTGGAAACAAAGAGTTTCAATAAGTTTGTTTTCTTACATATTTAGCTACTATACCAGCTGCTTATAGTTTGCCCAACACACTCTTAACTCCTTCCTCAGCTGCCGCCCTTCTCATTTCATCCCCTTCACAACCCTTTTTTGTCTCTCTTATTCTCCACATGGACTTCCATCTGTCTTCTTCCTTCACTCCTTTCTATAAATCTCCATACTTGTCTTTCAACCCTACATGGACTTCTGCACTCAACAGATGCAAGCCCCATTCTCCTTCTCCTTCACCTTCTTACTTTCTTTCTTCTTCTCTGATGCCGAGTTCAAAGTTTGAAGTTACTGTGAGATGGATCGATGGATGTTCGATTCCTTTCTGTTAGCTTGTGTCGGTTGTGTAGGGTGGATGGTGGCAAATGGGTTCTCCAAAGTTCAAGCTTGTGGTGGGCAGGATTGAGTAATGCTACGTTATTTCCTCGTGTCAACTCTTGTTTATTACACAAAATGCACGAAAAAGAAAGATAATTTCCATGGCGGGACGAGGTTTCGTGAAGGGGGAATGAAAGCGAAAATGCGTGTTTCTGCCTGGCTCCCTGCATGCCATCTAGGGAGCTTTCCAAGAGCGTTTGGCAACCTTCCTAGTTGGCATTACGGGAGCCATGCAGGCCTCCAATACCCCCACATCTTCACTCTCCCCCCTTCATACCCTCCTCCATGCTGCCAAACATGCTCTCTAAAGCATAGTGAAGGTACACAACAAATCCTTATTGCATTTTCCATTTCACCAATATGGTTCATGTGTGTGTCCGTTAGGTTTCCTCATCATCTAGCTAACTGATGCATTGTTATTGCTTGAAAGCTCCATCTTAAAGCTATGAATGCGGTGTTATACCTAATTTTCCTTCAGCCCATGATACCAGATTGGATAGGTGGAAAGACAAATGTGTGGATTGGGAAGAAACCATGAGTGGCAGGGCAGCTGCAGGGGTTGGCCTACTGCAAGTTCATGACTCGCTTTCTATAGCAAAACAACAACGCTACTGACAAATGAGCAAACTGTTAATTCAATACTTGGTGTCTCGTCACTCTATTCAATAGATTGCATATCCAAAAATGAAAATGTGTCACTCTCTACAGGCCCACGCCCACCTTTTAAATTCTTTTTCCTCCTTGTTGTCGACGGAAAAGAGTTTCCAATGCCATTGTTTAGAGATGCTTGTGAAATCAACACCACATTGTTGCATAGACATGAACTTGCTTGAAGGGTAGCTCTGCAAATTGCATCACAGATGGTGCCGCTCAAGGTGACATTCACTGCAGCAGCTGGGAGCGCGAGTAAAACTCGACGATTAAATCAGAAACCCGACTTACAACACCACCAATCGATTCATCACGAAAGTCTACGAAGAGACTGCAACAAGTATTGAAGCCCCGTACGTGAATATCCAATCGAGAGACTGATGGTATAGAAAATGAAATTCCAACTGTTCGTGCATCATTGTATACGCATGCTTGCGGATCAAGCTTCATCCTCTTGTGCATGCGACTGTGCGCAATGAACCAGAATGTTGTGGGCCTTGAGTCCTGCTCTGTTGGTGTGTTAGATATATATTGGGCCTCTTATTTCAGTTTCGACTTGTTTCAACGACAGTACTGACGGCCGTTGTTAAAGAGTCGTTGCTATAGAGACAATACCACAAAGGCTATAAAAGTACAAATTCTTTCTTCGTCAGGTAAACAAACACCAGAAGGCAAATAGAGAAAGAAAAATTAAAGAGAGGCTTTGACTGCACGTGGACACTGGTCGTCGTTGCAGGCAGAAACACCCACCTGGTAACGACCCAAAAGAGGCAAATCAGCAAAGCCAGAAAGAACGCACCCTTTCCACTCCAGACATGGTGTTGAATGACCAAATACAGGAAATGCACACAGACAGCAACACATTTCTACCTCTGAGCTGCAATTTAATTGAAAACTTGTGTTTCAGAACAATGCCAGACTAATGGTTCAAGATATAATGATAAGATCGTGACAGCGTCTACCAGCATTCTCTTTATACACTGATATGACCAGCACAACTGACCTATACTCACTCACTTGTTTCGTATAAAAAATACACACAGCTGCTTCCTCTGCTATTGCTTCTAACCAAGCTATCAACTCTTTTCACAGACACTCTCTCTATCCCCGACCCTTTTACCTTCTCTGCTCGACCAGTTTACAGAAGTATTCTGAGCTTCCCTGATCTAAAGGAGGAGGATGACTGTAAGAACCCCTCCTTTTAAGTTTCTACTCTTTTTTTCCTTTTCTTCTACCATGATACTTTTCCATGCAGGTTTTCTGTTTCCAAACTAGTTCACCCACTCTTCCTAATGCTATGGTGTAGTTGCAGAAAAGGATTGTGTTCAAACTGCATTTCAACTGTGAGAAATCACAGAGCAAAGCACTCCAGATTGCTGCAGGGACTGAGGGTAAGCTCAGCTCTCATCCCTCCCACATTACCCTACATTTAAGGATTTACCCATCTTAACTCTTTTGAAAATATCATACTAACAGAACAAAAAAGTTTTGACCAAGAATGTGAATTGGGCAGGTGTCAACTTTGTGGGACTCGAAGGAGAATGTAAAGAGTATTTGGTGGTGGTGGGAGATAGAGTCAATCCAGAGAAGTTGACCATCAACTTGAGGAAGAAACTTAAGATGGTAGAGCTCCTAAGTGTTGATACTGAGGATTCAGATTGAGTTGGAACAAGGCGCCGCTGCATGCTAGGCCTAACCAAATTCTGGAAGAAAGAAGAAACTAAAGGGTTGGTAGTATTTCCCAAACCATGCTTGGGAACTAAACATTGAAGAAACCATTGATCTATTTCTAAATTCTACTGATTCCCAATTGTTTTTCGCTTCTATCTATGCTGTTAATGATGCTTTGAGAATGTTATTCAACTGATTGTTCAGCAGATTATTCCAACTGTTCCATTGGCATGGTAAATTCCAACTATTCTGTCGATTTTGGAGTCTAGAATCTTGCTGTATCATTGAAAGAGAATCCTACCCACCAGTTAACTTTCAACTAGGATTATGACTAAATAGTATAGAACAAGTTTCATGAACTGTTTCCATTATTCATTTTGGTTCCAAGTCCTGTGCTTTGACACTTAACTTTCAAAAGATGGTCCTAATTTGGCATAACACAAACATTTTGAAGGCCAAGCTGCTGATCACTGAAACAAAATGCTAACTTTTCAATTGGATTATCACTTGCTGTTCTTGACATCAAATAGAAGAAAACAAGACAACTGGAACTTTTTCACAACCAAACAACATTACAGGCAGGTTCCTAGCACTACAACTTGCTCCATCGCATCACAACAATGCCGAATTGAATGAAAATGAGCATTCGGAAGTGACTAACCTAGTCCATTTCAGAACTCAAGCCCGTTCTCCCGAGCTGCATCAGCAAGCGCTTTAACTCGTCCATGGTATGGGTAACCCCCTCTATCAAATGCCACTTTAGTTATCCCTTTCTCCAAGCATGCCTTGGCTATTGCTTCACCCACCTTCTTTGCTACCTCCTGGTGAGTAGAGCCAGAGGATCAAGTCACAAAACAAGCAATAACGCAGTAATGTCAGATCAAGCAATTGAACAATCTCTCATTGCACAATCCACACTCTAACCCCAAATCGGCATTCCCAAAATTCTTTCAGGGCCTGTTTACTAATCCATCTCGAAGCTCAATCCTAAAGTAAGCTCCTTTTGTTTCAATTTCTGCAGCTGCACAAAATTTATTGCTTCATAGCATTGAACACACTCACAATTGTTGGCCCCGAGCTGAAATTGAGCTCTTCCGCGAGCAGCTTCTGCATTGTGGAGGCCGCGGCGAGGGTGTGCATCTTGGAGTCATCGATCACCTGGACGTAGAAATGCTTGTTCGAACGGTAGACCGAAAGCCTCGGCCGCTCCGTAGTGCCTTCAACCTATAACAAAAATTCACAACAAAAAAAGGGGAAGTTAAATCCAAAAATCGGAAGCAGGCGGAAAAGAGCAAGAGCCGGCGGAAACCTTCTTTCTGATTCGGGCATGGCGGGCGGTCCTGTCGTCTTGTCTGGTTCTGGTTTTGGCTTGAACTGTGACTAAGCTCGGTGGAGCAATTGATGAGCTCGGGCGGTGATTCCCTGAGGCTAATGCCGTTAGCTTGAGCTGCCCGAACCCCAGAAAGTTGCTGGTGAACGAACAAGCCGCCATTTGCTTTCTCAACTAACTCCGATTTATCTTCACCGGCGACGATTCTCACTTCGTTCCCGCTTTATGAATTAATCAGACTGACAAGGAAGGCTCTCTCCCCTTATCCAGTTCTATCCACACTGCCAGCTTGGGCCTCATGTTGGTTTTCGGGCCCTCCTTTTTCTTTGGGCTTTTGAAACAAGAAGCCCGTAACTTAACTATTTCGCTATCAACCAGACAAGTATCTTGCAATTCTCATGTCGACTGCTGATGTGGATGGCGAAAGTGATTTGATTTGGGACGATGCTAATCAACTATGGTATGGCGAAGTTCAAACAACAATACTCGAAACCTTTTGATCTCTTATTTGGCATTGACATGGACGTTCTAAGAAAACAACATTACAGACCAAAGGTGCCTCTCAAATCGGCTATGCAAACAAACGTCAGAAAATGACCAAAGCCTTGATCAAGCCATAAGTGCTACACCCTAATGAAATCAGGCTGATTGGTGACGGACCTCACCCACGCCCACTTATGATCCTTCACATTCACCTCGTTCTTCGTCTCCGCGACCTCGACCAACGGTATGTACGCGTAGATCCCATTAACCGGACCAGACACGAACCCGGTGTAACCTGCCATGACCCCATGGATCGCCGAGTGTGCCACGAGGGTGCAGTACATGTTGTCAACTGCATTCGCAGGCACGGCTCGAATCATGTAGGTCGGATCGATGTACTTCACGGTGAACAACTCGTTGGGATGGCTCCGGCTCCACCAGCTCCTGAACTCGGACTTCAACCACGAGCCCACATCCAAGAACACAGGGTTACCGGACTCGTCCCTCTCTTCCTTCTGAGCCTCGGTCCTAGGGATCAGCTCCTGGCCGGCTCCCTCTGCCACCACCACCACAGCGTGCCCGTTCTCCTTGATCCGATTCTCGAGGAACTCGAGGAGCCCGCCTTTACCTTCCAGGAAGAAGGGAGTCTCCGGGATCAGGCAGCAGTCCACATCGCGGCTGCTCAATGTGGCATGGAGAGCAATGTGGCCTGTGCTTCTGCCCATGAGCTTGACTAGGCCTATGCCATTGACACCGCTCTCAGCTTCCACGTGGCCTGCCGCGATGGCCTGTTGGGCCATTTCGACAGCGGTCTGGAAGCCGAAGGATCGGTCTATGATCCCTATGTCGTTGTCGACCGTTTTTGGGATTCCGGCCACCCCTATGTTCAGCTTCCTGCGACGGATTTCGTCGAATATCTTCACCGCTCCTCGCATTGTTCCGTCCCCACCGATGATGTAGAGCTGCATATTGTCAAATGTGTGCACAAAAATTAGAGCAGAGTGGTGGTGATCAAACGAAATCACACCAAATCCAAGCGATCTCTTAAGAAGAATTTCGAATTGGACATAGCAGAGCATTGGATTTAGCTTGGTTCAACAATAACCCAATGTTCAGAGTTCCTCTGCCAATTTCAAACAATGAGACAGAGTATCACTCTGTACATACCGTTTCCAATCAAAGCCAAAATCAAAGCAAGCAACTTTATGCGGCAAGAATTCAAGAAACCAAATCGCAGTGAGAATCGGATTAAGACGGAAGGAAACCTGATTGAAGCCATGGCGTTCAATGGCGTCGACGATCTTCCCAAGATCGAACCCTCCCCTGGAGGTTTCAAGAATGGTGCCGCCCTTCTTGTGCAGATTATGAACCAGCTTCGGATTCAACTCGACGGGGTCTCTGGAATAAAACCCTCGGTAACCGGCGCCGACCCCGAAAATCCGACGGACTCCGTAGAGCTCCCAGAGCCCAATCACCAGCTCCCTGATCACCGTGTTCATCCCGGGACACAGCCCGCCGCAGGTGACGATCGCAGCCCGAACCCCCGTCGGGTCGAATACGACCTCCTTCCGGGGGCCCGCCCGGTGGTAGGCCGGTTGTTTGGAACCAGAATTTGGGGTTTGGGCGAGATCGAATGTGATGCGGCGGAAGACGACATCGGAGTCGGAGATGTAGAAGCCGTGGGATGGGTGGTAGTACGGGTTGGATTGAAGCGGGTTGGGTCGAGTTTCGATATTCGAGAGATAGTCGGTCAAGTGAGGGAGTCTTTGGAGTTCCACCGAACCCGCCGGAGTAGAGACGGTGTTGGCGAGGTCGGTTGATTCCGGCGATGAAATAGCCATTCCAGTTGACGGCGGCGGAGGAAAGATCAAGAAAGATGTAAAAGTGGTAAACAAAATCTACAGTTCGGCGGTTTAATTTATATTCTGCTTGGGTGGTGGGGCGACGTGTTGGATTCTGGCGAGCGAGACGTGGAGGTCGGCGGTGGTGCCACCGTTGTCTGTGCCGCTGATTTGGCGGTGGCGCCAACTCGTTTGACTCGAGGAGGAACTTCCTTCTGTCCGTTGAAATTTATGGAGGGAACCCGGCCCAAGTTGAGGCACTGGGCCGGGTAATTGGATATCCATCGACAAATAAAATATCAGAGTGGCGAAATGGAAGTTATCTCATTTCTCGGACTCGCTGAAGTCTGAGAGCGGCCGCCGACGGGGGAAATCACCCAGCGAGAGAGAGAAGAACGAACGGCGGAGCACAGAAAACAATAATGGCGGCTGGAATTTCACAAGTCACTCCCTTTTCCTGTCCTCTCAGATGCCGGACGAGCAACTGCGGAAGCAGCGTTCTCCTCGTCTTAGTCTCCGAGTCCAGTAAGCGACCTGGCCATGGCCGCAGCCTTAGCCGCTTCACTTCGCTTCGAGTTTCTTCGTCTTCTCAATCTCAACATCCAATCTCTGCAAAGGAAGGCCGAGACTCAGACGACGAACGTCTTCCTCCGCGTGGTACGCCCTAATTTTAGGTTCTGTCAACTCAATTGGCTGAGGTTTACCTTATTATTGAACAAAGCTTTCGCTTTTCAGGCGTTGCAAGCTCGGCGACAATTCGTACCAAGGGAGCATACGTGAGTTCCGGGAAACTGAAAGCTATAAGGTTGAAAATGCTTGGTGTGGAAAAAGATGATTCTTCGGCAATGGAGCGGAATGTAGAGGAACAGGATACGAAATTAGCTCCTAGGTCGAGAACTAGAGTAGAAGTGAAACATAAGTCGTTAGATGCCCCAACCGAACGTAGGATGCCCAGGTTAAAAGGTTCAGATTATGAGTTGCCTGATGGGGAAACAAAGGAAATGTTGGGTTCCCGTGCTGACGATGAAGATGATGACTTTGAGAGGATGCCGAAGTCACGAAGTACATCGTATGATAAGTCTACGACGAGGTTTGATTCGAGAAGAGGCTTTAGTAGCAGAAGCAGCAGCTCGAGATCCAACTCCAGGAGGTGGGGTGATAATGAAGAAGAATATGATGATGAATTTCACAGGATGTTGGAGTCGCGAAGTACATCGTATGATAAGTCTACAACGAGGTTTGATTCGAGAAGAGGCGGCAGCTCAAGTTCCAACTCCAGGAGGTGGGGTGATGAAGGTTCCGTTCATAGTTTCAGACCCAGATCACAGTTCCCTTCACAGCGACAGGATAAATTTTCTTCAGGAAGTGACTTCTTCAGTAGGAAATCATTCAGGGACATTGGATGCAAAGAGTATATCATTGAAGCTTTGAAAGGGCAGCTTTTGCATCGTCCTTCACATATTCAGGTTAATCAACTTTCCTACCTTCCGAACAAGGACTCGAGCATGTGTTTATGCTTCACATAGAGGAAGTATTTGGTTTTCAATTAGTGCCATGGACCATGATGTATGGTTCAGTAATTTAATCTTCAAGCACTGTTTGTCTCCATACGAAAGTATTGTTCTTTGTTCTATAGCTACTTCATGCATGGTTGGATTTGTGTTAAGCCTTGATTACCATCATTCGGAGAGTGTGTTCTTAGCATTTGCATATCCAGTGCAGGCCATGGCATTTTCTCCTGTGATTGAAGGGAAGACTTGTGTCATCTCTGATCAAAGTGGTTCGGGCAAAACCCTGGCATATCTTCTCCCTGCAATCCAGCGTTTCAAGGAAGAAGAGAAACAAGCAGCTGGTGAACCCGTAGCACCAAAAACTCCTCAAGTGTTCATCATGGTGCCAACTGCCGAGCTGGCTTCTCAGGTTAGCTTCGAGACCCAAGTCAACTTCAAAGATCATACTGTCTACCCGTCTGTTTCTCCCTCATGCTCTGAGTGGCCAGTGTTTACTACTTTGAGTCGATCTTGAGCACCAAAGAACTAGCATGTGAATACCTAGCTAGACACAACATTAGGTAGATGATCTCATAGCATATCCTGTTTGTGGCTGCTATTAGTTTCTCAGGGCATGTTTTCTCGGTTTCAGGTTCTGAACAATTGCCGGTCAATGTCGAAATTTGGTGTTCGGTTTCGGTCCATGGTTGCAACAGGTGGATTTCGACAGAAAACCCAGTTGGAGACTCTAGAACAAGGTGTCGATCTGGTGATAGCAACACCTGGCCGTTTCCTCTTCCTGATTAAACAAGGCGTCTTGAAACTAGAAAATCTTAGATGGTAACTATACAAAGGCTAGTTAATAAATTGGATATGCTAGCTGCCAATGTTAACAACTGATAATGAACAAATCTGCCTGCAGTGCTGTTCTGGACGAGATTGATATACTGTTTAAAGATGACGACTTTGAAGCTGCACTCCAACTCTTGATCAGTTCTTCGCCTATTACTGCACAGTACCTATTCGTGACTGCAACGTTACCTGTAGACATTTACAACAAGCTTGTGGAGATCTTCCCTGATTGTGCAATGATCATGGGCCCTGCTATGCATAGGACGAGTGTTGGGTTAGAAGAGGTTGGTTTTCGTGCTTAACTTCGATGGTTCAATTCTCTCTCTTAGAATCCCATTTTAACGGACTTTACTTGTGGTTTTAAAAATGCTCAGGTACTTGTCGATTGCAGTGGGGATGTTGCAGCCGAGAAAACTCCTGAGACGGCATTTGAGAACAAAAAATCTGCTCTGCTGCAGCTTGCAGAGCAAAGTCCTGTTTCCAAGACGATTGTTTTCTGCAACAAGGTGAGTGTGGTTATCGGTTGATTTCACCCCTTGGTGCTCTCGTGACATTGCTGTTAAACCTTACACTCGTCCTCCTTCGCCTTCCAAAAATATGCAGATTGAGACGTGCAGAAAAGTGGAGAATGTGTTGAAACGTTTCGACAGGAAAGGAATCAACATTCAAGTCCTTCCATTCCATGCTGCTCTGGCTCAAGAATCGAGGCTGGCAAATATGAAAGATTTCATGAACCCACATCACTCTCCAGACCAGTCTTTGTTTCTTGTTTGCACCGACAGGTGAGGCATTTGGACAACCATTGTCATACAAACTCGTTTTGGCCCTCTGGCCTGCCATTGTTTCTGATGATGTCATTTTGTTGGTCAGAGCCTCGCGTGGGATCGACTTTGCAGGTGTGGATCATGTTGTCTTGTTTGACTTCCCAAGGGACCCGAGCGAGTATGTCCGACGAGTGGGAAGAACTGCTAGAGGTGCCGGAGGGAAAGGGAAGGCGTTTGCGTTCGTGGTGGGGAAGCAAGTTTCTCTGGCGCGGCGGATAATAGAGAGGAATCAGAAAGGGCACCCGTTGCACGACGTTCCAGCAGCATATGAGTTGATGTCTTCATGACCAGGTGAACTATCTTAGTCAACAGAACCATGTATATTATCAAATCCATCAAGCCGTTAAAATGTTTTAGGTGGGTTGATTTAGTTTTGTTACGTCTGGTATTTTGGTTCAAGAAACATGTTGATGCATATGATCCATTTTGATACGTGATTAGGATCACTCCCAGCACAATTAGATGATCGCCCCAAAACTAATCAAGTCAAAATTCTCATAACCGAATAAGTCGAACCGTATATTAAGTAACTCTAGCTATACCTATTATTCTCTAAGTTAAATTCACTATTACCGTGGAAAAAAAGCTGTAAAATACGAGAGGTTACTCACCCTTACATAACTATCCGGAATTATTGACTTCTTAATGGTAGGACCTTGCTTGAGGTCGTATTCCTTGCAGCAGAATCCATTGATGACCCACTACAATCACCTCACAGTGCGGGACGATGGATCTATCACTAAATTGTCAGTAACAAAAATTGGACTCCTAACTTGGTGAACTCCATCGGTCCAAGTCAGTCCGCCGAATTCATACCCTTTAGCGACGCCTTTCCTTTTGGCCGTCACCTTTACCTTGAAAGTCTTCTTCTGTCCATACTTTTCGAACTTCAACACATTAGGCACTACTTTCACCCTAACTCCATAAGGCTCCTTCACCTCGGCGGTGTATGTCCCCGGAGGGCCGACGTTCTTCACCCTCCTCTTGAAGGTAACCGGTCCTGACCCGAGATTCGGTACCGAGAACGAAGGGTAGTTGTGATCGAACACACTCTTCACCTTCTTCTTGGGGCATTTGTAGCCCTTCTCCATCAACCGGCCAATCTTGGAGCTCTTATACCCGATGGAACATAGGAACTCTAGATACTCGCGGGGAGCAACCTCGTAGACGAGTCCCGGGTTGATGGCGCGGTTAGGCCTGATGTGCCCTGAGCCATAGCCGAACGACGTGGATTCTTTCTCGTCCTCGTCGATCATCTTGCCACCGTTGTTGCCTTTAGTCGTAGCTGCAAAAGGAAACAACGCATTTCGTTAAGATTGTGAACAAAATATGTATGTATGTACTATATAACATGTTATTTCGTTACGAAATTTGTAAGGGTTATATGTATATGTACCGGTAGTCATTATGGCGGAATGAATGGCAGAAGGGCTCCAATCGGGATGAACGGCCTTCACAAGGGCGGCGACGCCGGCGACGTGAGGGCAGGACATGGAGGTGCCACTGTCCAGCTGGTAAGGGTACTTCCGGCCGTGTCCGGCCATAGAGAAGGCCGCCAAGATGTCGACTCCGGGAGCCGTGACGTCAGGCTTGAGGATCTGTGGGGTGACGACATTGGGCCCGCGGGACGAGAAAGAGGCCAAGGAAGGGGCCGGCTTGTTGCCGTACGTCGTGACTGACGGCGTGAGGTAGGCCGTCGGGTGGTTCTTGGTGGCGTTGATGTAACGGAAGACCTTCAGGCCGTCCCTGTAGTTGACGTGGGAAGTAGGGACGGAGTGAAGGTCGGTGTCGAGGTCGAGTCCGCTGCCCACGTCGTTGCAGAGGATTACCCCGACTGCCCCTACTTTTCCGGCCTGGAGACTCTTGTCCACCCTGGCGTTTTTGCCACGTAGACACGCCAGGATTTTGCCCTTGGCCTTTTTGGGATTCAACGTTCCCGGCAGGCAAAGAATGGCGTCCGCCGCGGTGGCGTTTCGAAGCCTGACGTCGGCTGCGCTGGCCAGCGTGTACTTTCTGCCCACCGGCAATGGCTTCTCGAAGATCGCCGTCCCCTTCAGTCGCTCGCCGTTACCTGTTATGAAAATGTAATTGCAACACAAGTAACATAAAAACATCACGAAATCGCTCAAACACATATGTAAATAGTTCTAACTAATAGAATGTACTATATGTCGTTAAAAAATCTTATTTTTCTTTGGTTTCCAAATTTATGAAATGATTCCTCCAATTGATTGAAAAGACGTACATTTTTCGGTGCAACAATATCTCAAACCCAAAAAACCAGCGAGCACAGTAAATTAGCGAGAACCACATTGATTCAAATTTTCTTTTGAAAAGAACACAAAAAAAAAGAACGATTTTTGGTTTTGACTGAGTTTTGATAAGAAAATAATCGTGTTCTTAAAAATAGAGAAGTTTGATACTATTTAGTATTTGCAGAATCGATACTAACGGAGTATTTATAAATCAAATTGATCGAATTAGTGAATTAGAAGCACTCTTTCCTTCTTTCGCCAATGTATGTATCAAAAATATTTCTTGGCTCCTTCCTATTCTCGTCCGTAAGATTCAAAATCCCAATAAAACGTAGTAAAAGTATAGTGTTCTGTTTTGATTTACCTAGCTCAGCATAGACATCAACGTTGCGGTCCGTGGTGCTGGCTCCAACAGTAATTATCCACGGTGCCATGTTCGATACGGTTCCTTGGACCGGCCCCGAGTTGCCAGCAGAGGCAACAACGACGACCCCCGATCGGACGGCGTGGAAAGAGCCGATGGCGACGCCGTCGGCCAGGTAAGTGTAGCCGGTAAAGTTGTCACTCCCGAGGGAGACGGAAAGGACGTCGACCCCGTCGGAGATGGCATCCTCGAACCCGGCCAAGATGTCGGAATCGGAGCAGCCAGTGTCGTCATCTGGGGTCGCAAAGCAGACCTTGTAAGACGCCACCCTAGCTCTGGGAGCTCCGCCTTTCGCCACCCCGGAAGCCGACCCCAGGATGTCGACTCTGGCGACGAAGTTGCCGCCGGCCGTGGACAGTGTGTGGGTCCCGTGCCCGTCCATGTCGCGTGGGCTGTATATGTCGGCCGGATCGACAATGTCGGCTCCCCCTTCCTCGAGCATACCTCTGTTGTATAACCGCGAACCGATGAGCTTCCTGCAATATACGAAAATATTGTTGGTAAAAACATATTCTCTTATTTTGTTGGTTCAACAGCTTCGACTATACTTTATTTAAACTATTTACCTATTGCAGGGAACGCCGGCCTTGGTGTTGTTCTCGCAAACTCCCTTCCATCTAGAGGGAACGGTGCTATACCCTTTGTCGCTAAAACTCTTGGATTCGGGCCAAACACCTGTAACAAACTCCATATATAGTCGATATCTCATCAGAAATTGTATTGATCATAATCAAGATGTAACAATTAATTAGTGGCTAACTAGTTAAAACTACTAATTAATTACCACTGTCGAGGTTTCCAATGATGATATTCTCGCCGAACTTGGCAGCTTTCCAGATCTCGTTGGGGACTTTCCGCTTACCAATCTCCTTATTCAGCAACATGAAATCCCAAGAGTTGGTCGTGTGAAGCCTCTTCATCCCGTCGGGAAAAACTGACACCACTCCAGGATGCCCTGCCGTCGTCGCCAAAGATCAAATTATTATGATTTCTATATATATAGCGACGGGCTAAATAGTTATAGCGACGATAAATTTTGGTTGGGAATAGTGATAATATCAAAATGGCTGGAGGCGTAATTAATTACTGGCGATTTGAGCGGCTTCTTCATCGTCCAATACCGCCGTGAAGCCGTTGATGTGCCTCTTGTAAGAGTAGCGGATTGCATCTTTGGCTGCCTCCAGGCTGTGAAATGATACAAATGCATGTAAATGTAAATCCATCAATTACCGTCACGAAAAAAAAAATGCAGCATCGAGTTTAGAGAGAATAATTCACTTACTCTCCGAGGTAAGTGGTGAGTAAATCATGATGGGAGTTGGTGACGGCGTGAAGATCAGCTTCCGTGGCTGAAAAGCCGCCATGGCTGTGGCCACCCAAGTAGACAATATAATGTCTTTTCACGGCGGAGACTAGCGACGCCGGCGACGAGAACAGACACAAAATAGAGACCAAACGGAGAAAGGAGGAAAGGGGCCGGCTGGTCGCCATTGTAACTACCGACGGGCTTTTGGGTTTCTTGCTTAATTTACTACTACTTGGGAAATTATCACTCCGAGTTTAGATGGATATATATATCCTGATGTGGTTCATATAATAATAATAAGAGGGAATGCCCATTAGAAGTAGTTTACCTTAATATAATGATAAACGACATGTAATTAATGATCATGCATATATATTTCTTATAGGATGTATCGTGGTGATGTGAACTCAAGTTTGGGGCTTGAACGTAAGTATAAAATACTTACTCTCCAAGATGTTATTATCGTTCATCCCAATCCCAAATGTTACTTATTCATGGTCCATTGGTTTCTATTAGTGGGCCGGCGGTACAATCTGAGAGTGAAGTTTTTGTTTTACTTCCACTTAGGACACAGTTCCGGACCAATCCGGATGAAATTGATGTTTGGATCCGATCGAGTGGAACACAAATATAATTAATGTCCGGTTCTCGATTTTATAAAATGTTTAAATGAGACTAAATCAATATTTGAATTGTACCGCGCATATATCAATCTCGTACTGAAATATTGTATACCTCCGATTTGAAACTATCATGTCCGATTCAGTCGAGAAATGCACAATTCCACAAAACCCTAGGTTTTGGTTTGTGGCCTAACCGCAGTAGAACAACCACCAACGTAATTTTGTGTTGAACTCTTTAACACTTGGAACGTAAAGAGAAGAAAGGCCATAATGCATGTAGGTCCGTCCAACCAAGTCATGAAAGAGCGGTTACGTTAAAATGCACAAAGGACAGGAAGGCCAGACTAATACAAGAAGCTACATATATATAGCTCATTGGATCTGTCCCCCGCACTCTCATTGGTGAATTTGATTTACAACATCTTGATAAACGCCATATTCTTTAATTTGAATTATTATTATTAGTATTAGCTGTAGGAGTCCTATCATTTCAGGTAACAAAAAATTTATGACAAAGGTCACCATTCATCCATATACTAATAATCAATTTAAAGTCGTCTAAAAATTATTAATGTAACATCATTTCATGGAACACCTCCAATCATATAACATAAAATCCCCGAAAACCCTGACCACTAAACTAACCTAAAACAGAGAAAATTAAAGAAAGAACCAGCTAATTAGCTAGTAATGACCAACAATAACGTTGGATGGACGATCAATCACCAAATCGTTGGTCACGAAGATCGGACTCCTAACATAATGTTCTCCATCGGTCCAAGTCAGCCCACCGAATTCATACTTCTTAGCCGCACCTTTCCATTTCGCCGCCACCATGACCTTGAAACTCTTCTCCTCGCCATACTTCTCGAACTTCAACACATCGGGCACGACCTTCACCGCAACCCCATAGGGCTCGTTCACCTCAGCAGCATAGATCCCCGGAGGCCCCACATTCTTCACCTTCCTCGTGAAGGTCACCGGACCGGACCCTAGATTCGGGACCGAGAACGAAGGGTAGTTGTGATCGAACACGCTCTTGGCCTTCTTCGAGCACTTGTAGCCCTTCTCCATCAATTGGTCGATATCCGAGCTGTTGTAGCCAATGGAACATAAGAAGTCGAGGTACTCATGAGGAGCCACCTCGTAGACGAGGCCCGGTTTGATGGCACGACTCGGCCTGATGTGTCCTGACCCATAGCCAAACGATGTCGATTCTTCCTCGTCCTCGTTGGTTATCTTGTCCTCCGCGTTACTCCTCGTCCTCGCTTCCAAAAGAAAAGCAAAATACATATGATCAAACTTAAATTCGGTGAAGTTATTTTCATACATGCATGGTTAGACATATAAGTTAACGTACCGGTGGTCATGATGGCGGAATGAATAGCGGAAGGGCTCCAATCGGGATGAACGGCCTTAACCAGCGCGGCAACTCCGGCGACGTGAGGGCACGACATGGAAGTCCCGCTCTCCATAGCGTAAGGATACTTGCCGCCGTTGGCCATCGTGTACGCCGCCAGAACGTTGACGCCGGGAGCGGTGACGTCGGGTTTCAGGAGCTGCGGGGTTACCGCGTTGGGTCCTCTCGAGGAGAACGAAGCCATGGAAGGGGCAGGCTTGTTGCCGTACGTGTTGACAGGTGGCGCGATGTAGGCCGTCGGATTCTTCTTCTTGGTGTCGTTGATGTACTTGTAGACCTTCAAGCCGTCCTTGTAAGTGACGTGGGAAGTCGGGACGGCGTGGATGTCGTCGTTGAGGCTGGCCCCGTCTGGTTTGTCGTTGCAGAGAATTACCCCGATTGCCCCTGCGTTTTTGGCCTGTTGGCTCTTGTCCACCCTGGCGGTTTGGCCACGTAGGCAGGCCAGGATTTTGCCCTTGGCCTTTTTCGGGTCCAGCGTCCCCGGCAGGCAAAGGGCGGCGTCTGCTGCGGTGGCGTTCGGGAGTTTGACGTCGGCGGCGTTGGCTAGTGGGTATTGCTTGTGCTCCGGCAATGGCTTTGCGAATATCGCCGTGCCCTTTAGCCGCTCGCCATTTCCTGTCACAAAAATTTATGTCACAGTGTGTACTCGTATGGACATTCAATTAATAATAATGATTAATAGGAAAAAGTTTCGTGATATACATACAGAATTATAACACCTAATACATCCAATTTTTAGGTTTATTCACGTGATTATTCAAGTAAATGGAATTGCAAAAGATACTCCATTTGCTACTAATAATTTGTATCACCCAATTTTAAAAAATTATATTTTAGGACTATATAATATCAATTGAGGAACGTACAAGTATATATAAGGTTAAAAATATGAACCCTAAACCTCTTTACTATAAAGGTTATGCATGCAGTAAAAAGGCAATGTTTACCGAGCTCGGCGTAGGCATCAACGGAGCGATCGCCGGTGCTGGCTCCGACGGTGATGATCCAAGGGGCCATGTTTTTCACGCTTCCCTGATCGGGACCTTCGTTTCCAGCCGAGGCAACCACAACAATCCCGGCCCGGACAGCGTGGAAAGAACCGATGGCCTGGCCGTCGGTGAGATAGGTGTATCCAGCCAACGTATCGGCACCAAGGGAGACGGAGAGGACGTCGACCCCGTCGGCGATTGCGCCGTCGAACGCAGCCAAGATGTCGGAATCCATGCAGCCGTCCGCATAGCAGACCTTGTACGACGCGACTCGTGCTCTGGGAGCACCACCTTTCGCGACGCCGGATGCCGTCCCCAAAAAGCTGACTCCGGGGACGAAGTCGCCTCCCGCCGTGGAGAGAGTGTGGGTGCCGTGGCCGTCGACGTCACGTGGGCTGTAAATGTCGGCGGGGTCGGCCGTCTGAGCATTGACGGCGGAGATGATGCCTTTGTTGTACAGCCGGGAACCGATCAGCTTCCTATTGCAAGGGACTCCGGCCTTGGTATTGTTCTCGCAAAGTCCCCTCCATCGAGAGGGAACAGCGCCGTACCCCTTGTCGCTAAAGCTCTGGGATTCCGGCCAGACGCCTATATATATATATAGCAACCATATTTTATTAGATCGTCACCAAAAATATTTTACACTTCCTAATATAAAGTGTAAAACTAATTACCGGTGTCTAGGTTTCCAATGATGACATTTTCGCCAAACCTAGCAGCCTTCCAGAGTTCGTTGGGGACGTTCCGTTTTCCAGTTGGGGTGTCGATCTCCTTGTCCAGCATCATAAAATGCCATGAATTAGTGGTGTGAAGCTTCCTCTTTTGGTCGGGGAAAACAGACACCACTCCGGGATGCTCTGCCGTAGCCAAAAGATCAAACTTAGATTAGCATATACATATATATAGTAACGAATATGGCATTAAAATTAGGGTTTTGGTGTGGTAGATAGATATTACTGGCGATTTCAGCTGCTTCCTCGTCGTCTAATATCGCCGTGAAGCCGTTGATATGCCTCGTGTAAGAGTAGCGGATTGCATCCTTGGCTCTCTCCAAACTTTCAAGGTGCAAAAGATAGATTCATTGATCAAGTAGCTGAGTCACTACGTTAGATTCAATTATGCGTTGCAAAATGTAGTTGTGATTACTTACTCGCCGAGGTAAGTGGCAAGGAGACCGTGATGGGAATCGGTGACGGCATGAAGATCAGCCTCAGTGACGGGTGAAGAGCCATGATTGTGGCCTCCCAAGTAGACGATGTACTGCCTTTTCGCGGCGGAAACTAGCGACGCCGACGAAAGCGCACAGAAGATGGAAACCAAGCACAGAAGAAACGGAACTCGCCGACTGCAGGTTGCCATTTTGTATTTGCCCAACTTGGCCTTTGCTTGATTCTTCCCCCTCTCACTTGGAAATTATACGGTAATTTATACAAGGAGTTATTTACTCGGAGGTAGAACTCTACCTCCAGTAAAAAGGAAAGAATCACAATTAATTAACTGTTCCGATGCATATCTGATCCCCAATGAAATTCTGTAAAAAGATAATATATTCTCCAACTAAAAAAAACAATCTACCAAACTTTTTTATTTTGCAAAATACATCGTTTTAGCGGGATAAACGTTATGTGAATTATATTGGAAACTAGAAGATATCTTGATTCTGATTTTTACAAACTATCAGTATATATCAGCTTATTTTCTAAGAAAAAAACAGCTTATCACAATAAATATTGCAATACGAGAGAATGGAAGGAATATGAAAGTGCGTAGAACTCTTTCTTCACTAGACGTACGTTCATTATTATAACTGCTTAAAAAATAAAATTAGGGATATCCGATATTAATCCATCCTACCTTCCTCAATCCTGAGGGTGACAGAAAACACGAGTTCGGTGGACTGACTTGGACTCAGTAATTCTGAAGATTAACCATTGGATTGTTGATTAATTCCGCAGTTAACTAATCCTTTTAGGATCAGGATTGAGTTGGACACATGATGGAGTGAAAGTAGATGATTTCCTTTCCATGTTTTACCATTTGTTTGCAACAATATGGGTTCAATTAGTTTCCTTAACCCGGTATTATGATTTATTTACTTAGTACACAAATCAGGAATGAATCAGAAACAGAAAGAGAAGTAATTGTTGAGCCGGAGACGGTGAATTTTAATCACAACATGGTTGTTTCTTAATTATTAGCATAATTAAATTGGTACCCATTTTTGCCATGTTTGGTTCAGAAAACCTTACTCTGTACATTGTATCCTGACATTCTTTCAGAAAATTTACCATAGTGAAAATGTTCCATATTTGATTAATATTATTCCTTACATATCCTGAGGCCTCCTCTTCCCATCATAAATTGAGATTCACATGCTACAGAAACGCATAAAGAAAGAGAAGGAAAAGAAAGAAGAAAAAAAAAGCAGACAACAACAACAACAATGGAGTTGGTTTACTATTGTTTCATGGTTTTGTGTTTGTTCCAGATTCCTTATCCTGTCCTAGGAATCCAAAGGAACTACATCGTCTACTTGGGATCTCATTCACATGATGGCAGTGGCACGACTACTGCTCAATCCTCTCATCCTGATGATTCTCATAGAGTTCAGGCTATCACAGAATCTCACCACAATCTTCTTGGATCCTTCCTAGGAAAGTACGTAAAACTGCACGTTCTCCTATCGTACTTGTGATGTTGATCTTAAGATTCGAATTTTATGACGAATTCGGTACCATGACTGACATTTTTTAGGGGGTACATATGTTTGTGTCTGGTAGTGAGAAAGCGAGAGAGGCAATTGGATACTCATACACGTGGAACATCAATGGCTTCACTGCCAAGCTTGATGAGGCAGAAGCTGCTGAAATTGCCAGTAAGTAACACTACTAATTACCATTCCATTCTGCACCTCCGGAAGAGAATGCTGTTTTGCAGCCTATAATGAGATCCCATCAGCTGAATGATAATTTGTTACATACCCTCATCCTTTTTCCTGTTTTTGTCGAATTGTACAGAACACCCAGATGTGGTATCAGTTTTCCTGGATCGAGGAAGGAAGCTGCACACGACAAGATCATGGGACTACTTGTCATTGGAGAAGAATGGTGCAGGGCACCCTGGACCGTTGTGGAAGGCAGCCAAATTTGGTGAAGGCACAATCATAGCCACTTTGGATACTGGGGTCTGGCCTGAATCCAAGAGCTTTGATGATGAAGGATATGGTCCTGTCCCATCCAAATGGAAAGGGATATGCCAGAACAACACCAAGGCTGGAGTCCCTTGTAACAGGTTAGTTCATCTCTTTTTATCTTTTCTCAATTGGTAGGAATGACAATGGGACGAGATTGAATTAATGGTCATAATATGGGAAACTTGGGCAGGAAGTTAATTGGTGCAAGGTTCTTCAGCAAAGGCTACATTCAAGCTGGTGGGAATCCAACCAACGAGTCCTTCCTCTCAGCTCGTGACTCTCAAGGCCATGGGACGCACACCTTGTCCACCGCGGGGGGAAATTTCGTCCCTCGGGCCAAGATCCTCGGCGCAGTGAAGGGAACAGCAAAAGGTGGTGCGCCTAGAGCCAGAGTGGCGGCCTACAAGGTCTGCTGGCCGCCGATCAACGAGAGCGAGTGCTTTGATTCTGACATCTTGGCTGCATTCGATGCGGCTATCCACGACGGTGTCGACGTGATCTCTGTCTCTCTTGGTGGGGGTGCATACGAGTACTTCGAGGATGCCATAGCCATTGGCTCGTTCCATGCTGTCAAGAAGGGTGTTCTTGTTTCTTGCTCTGCAGGTAACTCTGGCCCTTTGCTTGGAACGGTGTCGAACCTCGCACCTTGGATCACTACTGTTGCGGCAAGTACCTTGGATAGGAAGTTTGAATCCTCTGTTCAGCTTGACAATGGCCTGACACTCAAGGTTCTGCCTCTTTTGCCCCCCTCTTTGTATATAACTCTAATTGCAAGGAAGAATAGTTTAGTTTATAAAAAAAAAAAAAATTGTTCATTGATAAGTTTGCAAGAACTCCTGGTACATCTTTTGATGTCTTAATGAACTATTTTGCCTTGAATTTGGGTCACCAGGGAGAAAGTCTCTCAGGTTCTCTGCCAAAAAACAAGACATACCCACTTCTTTCTGCGGCTCAAGCTAAAGCTGCCCACGCAACTGTTAAAGACGCGTAAGAATGTTTTCTTTTTGTCATCCCCCATATCGTCACTAAGTCAATTTCTAATAGAATAATATGTTGCTTCTTAAATTTTTGTTTCCCAATAGCCTTTTGTGCAAACCTAAGACATTGGATCCTAAGAAGGCAAAAGGAAAGATCTTAGCTTGCTTGAGGGGAGACAATGGAAGGGTAGAGAAGGGTAAAATAGCTGCCATGGCAGGTGCTGCTGGGATGATCCTTTGTAATGATAAGATTAATGGTGATGCTGATCTCACTGCTGATCCTCATTTTTTGCCTGCCACTCAAATTGGCTACAAAGATGGTGTTGCAGTTTTCCATTACATCAATTCTACCAAGTAAGATTTGGCATTTTTACTTCTCCTTTTCCTTAAAAGTTGTGATCTTTTTGCTCAAAATAGTCATTTCCTCATGCAGACATCCTAAGGCATACATCACTCCCTCAACTTCAGCGGTGAACATAAAGCCTGCTCCAGTCATGGCAGATTTCTCCTCCAAGGGACCTAATACCATCACACCTTACATCCTCAAGGTGTTCCATCTAGAGCTCCAAAGACCATTGCTACTTGTGATTCAAGTTTTTTGGCGGATTGTTTATGTAGTTGATGCTCTCTTTTTTTATTTGTTCAGCCCGATATCACTGCTCCTGGAGTGAACATCATCGCAGCCTACACAGAAGCCAAGCCCAAAAACCAAAACGAAGATCCTCGCAAGTTCCCTTACAATATCCTCTCTGGCACATCCATGTCGTGTCCTCATGTATCGGGAGTCTTCGGCCTTCTTAAGGCAGTCCACCCTCATTGGAGCCCCTCCGCCATTCGATCTGCTATCATGACCACTGGTAGGTTACTTGTTTGCTAACAAAGAGGCAACATCTTTCTCCAAACTCTAAGCTTGAGTGAATTTTACAGATACCCTCTTTTTGGTTCATCTGCAGCTAGAACAAGGGATAATGCTCGTAATCCGATCCTCGATTCCACCCTAGAGAAGGCCACACCATTTAGTTACGGGTCAGGACACATCAGGCCGAACCGTGCAATGGACCCTGGCCTAGTCTATGACTTGACCATCAGTGACTACTTGGACTTCCTATGTGCTATAGGGTACAACAAGACTGTCTTGAAGCTCTTCTCTCCTCACAAGTGCCCCAAACACCCAAGGATCATGGACCTGAACTACCCTTCGATCGCGGTCCCTGAGCTCAAGGATGGCTCATCGATAACTGTGACTAGGAAGGTGAAAAATGTTGGGGAATCACCAGGCAGGTATGCTGTCAGGATCAAGGAACCAAAGGGTGTTTCCATTTCGGTGAAGCCTAATGTCCTGAAGTTCAACAAGGTCGGGGAAGAGAAGACGTTTAAGGTGACACTGAAGGCTAAGTGGAACGGTGCAGCTGATGATTATGTGTTCGGAGGGATTACATGGACTGATGGGATCCACTATGTTAGGAGTCCCATTGCAGTGTATGCTGTTTCTGCTTAGTGTTTGACAGTTGTAAGTGTGAAACTTATTTATTAGCTATGTAGTATGTGTGAAGTTGCAGTTTCTACAGAGTCCTAAATCTTGATATCATCATTTGACAATCCATTTTGTATCAATGGATTGAGAATGATCATGCAAGATTACAGATTTATACTTTTTCGTAGCGATTCTCACTTTTGATTTCCAATATCTTATGATGTACCTTGAACATTGAGAGGCGAAGCTATGTTAATGCTCGAGGTTTCAGAGGCAGATTAGAGAGCTCCAAGAAGTAAAGAGAAAAATGGAACCGTCATTAGAGATATTATGCGAGCCCCAGTTGAAACACTCACATGTTGCCCTACTAAAATTTTTTTGGCATATATATTTGCCTCTGTCGTTCGGAGTTTTTCTAGTGTCATTCGAATTTGAAATTAGAGTAAGTTTTCTCTTTTTTTGGGTGAAAGAGTAAGTTTTCTCTTCGATGTTAAAATTGTAGGTGTTGCTAAATATTAAACAAATATAGAATAGAAAGATTATCTATAAAAAGTTTTCTCTTATAATTTGAATTTCTTCATGGGTAGATATACAATGCTCTTCAATCGTATATCGAATTTATATTGGGATATAAATGAAAGAAGTAAAACAAATAATTTTTCTAATTTGACTTCTTTCAATACATTCCAACTATAGAGTCGGTACTATATTCGTGTTTTGGGCTAAACACAACATATAGACATATCTAAAAAGTTGTTTATCAAGTCCAAGTTCTTCTTTTGTTGTTGAACAATTTGACATATTTAAACACGCCTCTCTCTTTTGCTTATGAAGTAAAACAATAGGATGCATAGAAACTAAAAGCTTAAGAATTCTTACTATTCCAATACAAAATGAAAATCGAAGATGGAGCTACACGTATAAAAACGCACAACAAGTACATCAAATAGCTAGTTCGGAGTACGATGTTTGTAGGAGTACAATGGATCCTTTGTAAGTTATTATATACCAAAAAAGGTTTCTTGTTTAATTAATTTATGAATCAAACAACTTTATCCTAGTGGACACAATGACTTGACATACTGGGCAGAGCTTCACATCTCTTCCACAATCGGAGCATGTCTGTTAGAAAATTAAAAAAAAAACACTTGGTTCAACAATGATCGTTATAAAAATATATAATTAGTTTTTTTCTTGTTGTTAAGTTCCATACCTGATGCCCACATCCAAATGCAAGATCCTTCTTCTTCCATGAGCATAAGGGGCAGTTCTGCTTCAATCACAAAATTAATGCTTAATGAGTCAATTCGGAAACGTGTAGGAGATTACTATATGGTTTAGAATAGGGGTGGAAAGAACCACCCAAAAATCGACCATCTCAGTCCATCAAGCTCACTCGTCAAATAAGGAAAACTTGAAGGTTACGGGTGGATTAAGGCTCTATGTGAAGTACATAGATATTGTTGGATTGGTCTGAATTTAGGCCGATGAAACCCTGCAAACCCTTCCCAACCCAACTTTGTAGCGGTAAACCGACAATATATTCATCCAAGATCAACGACCAACAATATAATGCACTCATCCACCACTAAACTTAACTTAATCCATTCGACATTATTGTGCCAACAATGAGATTTTGTTTTTGTTCTACCTCTTATGGACGAGTTCTGTTGGAGTTTTGTTTTTAATGTTAAAAAACTCTATTTTCATTTTTCTTGTATTGATGTTTTGCATTTAGTAAAGTGCAACTTTGTTCTAGTATAAAAATTTCAACTTTGTTTTCTTTGTTTGTGTTGATAGAGTTCAATAGAATTGACCCAAGCCACAATAAACCAACATGGTTTTTATATTAATGAGTGGGTTTGATAGTATCTAAATCAATGTCTATAAGTTGGTTGATTTAAATGGTCCAAACCCAAACCACCTTGCACATTTACACCTCTAGTTAATGAAGGAATATGTACCTCATTACTTGACATCATACTAGATCGATATGAGGTTACCAACATGTTGCGGGAGTATGGGACAGGGGGAGGACGAGGACGTTTTGTCGTTGGAGGAGCCGCTTTCCTACAACTGCAAGTAAATAAGAAAATAGTATATGATGATGTTGTCATTGCTAAAATGAATTATACTAGGAAGAAGAAAAAAAAACACTAAGGATTTCTATTTAGTTACCCTAGAAGTTGGAGCTCCAGAGTGGCTTTGTATTGTGAAGGTATCTCCATCAACGCAGCCAATGCAAATTCTGCCTCCTTCTTGGATGAATGAATGTTTTTGGACATGATTGAGGTGAAATTCACAAACTGCATAGCAGCAACAGTAACCATTAGAGCATTCAGAAGGGCAGTTGAAGTCAATCCGAAAATTCATACTCTGTAATCTGTATTAACCTGAAAATTATCAAAGGCTCTAGCAGGGATGTTATCATCGAATTTACGCATTGTTTCCCACGGTCCATCGCCAACACCAACAAGCACAATTGAAAGAGGGAACTTGCTGAATCAAACACAAATTTTGATAATCTTTGAGAAGAAATGGCTGAAGCTAACAGTACCAATCAATCAACTGTATATGGATTCACAAAACCTGGCTTTCACAATAGCATTGATGGTATTCTGTTCCTGGGAGCTTAACCTTGTGCTATATGGATCTTGATTTTGTGTCACCTTTCACACCATTTTTCAAGCAAGAGATCAGCTTAAGAGAAGTCAATCTAGAAAACAAAAAGAATCAATCAATGTCCTACTCACCTGTCCATCTGCAATAATGAGAAGAATGTGATACTGGCCACCACTCTTGTCCACAATCCCCATTGCAGTTTCAATCACAGGAGCAAAAGATGTTGGCCCTGTTGTTGAAGATGTACAAATCAGATGAAGATGCACAAACTCAAATGCAATTCTTCAAGAACAAATTAAAAATAATAACAAAAACCAACCAGAGAAGTGGAGATGTGGAAGGATTTCTTTGTAACGACTGAGTACTTGTTCAAACCCATTGCAAACCCTGTCTTCAGGGTAGAAGCTGAATACTTCTTGATCATGGGTGGTGGCTGAAACACAGAGTGAAGAAGGCTAAGATTATGATTGTGAAAGACCAAAGCAAAAAAAAAAAAAGGTTTCTCTTTTTCCCCCCTCACCGTCACCAAAACCAAAACAGGGGATCAGATTATCCTCATCAAAAGCTGAAAGTGTTCTTCCGATAATCGAGATTGCTTGTTCATATGGGTTCGGAGTAACCCCACGATGATGGAGGCACTTCCCCTGGAAAGACCTTTCGCCGGTCCATTCATTGCTCTTCGTGAAATCGATTCCCACTATGAGGTTCGATGATTCAAGACCAGCTTGGGCAAGTGCTTCAGCTACCTGCACAAAAATACACAGATGGGATCTTACAAATGGAAAAGAATCCATTAGTGTATAATGTGCTTAATGATCATCAAGTATTACCTGTTCCAGGGAGCTGTAATCATCTCCAATTTGTAAGTACCTGGACTTTGGTTTGGTTGTTTGTTGCTTACCCCAAGGAATTTGTTGGGTTGTTGTACCATCGTAGTAAGTCACCGGCGTCGTCTTGGAATGGCATATACGGTTAGTGTAGCTGCCGGAACGCCGGCGAGATTGCTTACTGTGCTTGCTTCCCATACTTGTATTAATTATTGTCTCGAGAAAAACAGAGCATGCATGAATGATCGATCAAAAACATATATGCTTCTTTCTTTGTTATTATAGTAGCATTCTGAGAAAGAACGAGAGATGGTGGATAAGTCAAAACTCACATCACTACTATGAAGGCTGTAATTTAGGATTTCAATGGATAAGCTCTCTTTCTCTCAATTAGCATGTCATAAGATTATTTCATAGGTATTCCTAAAATAGAAACAATTTACTTGGTCAAAATATTCAATTAATACATTTTGAAAACAAATCAATTAACATTCGGATTTATCACGTGATTTATAATTAACCAGTGTGTATGGTCTCCATTGATATCCTAATTTGGAAAATAGAGATCAAATTTATATCATTGCATCCAAATTAAATTTTACTCGCTAACTATCTTTTATAAAATTAAGATGGCTCAGTTAGTCGTTCACATGCCTTTGCCTTAGGTTAGCCACCATGTATTGGTATTGGGATGTTGATCTACAACTTGCACATTATTCTACAAGTATTCCCTTTCAGATGAATATACCGCCACAATCTATTATAAAAAAAAAATTAAGAGAGTTAAAATTCTTTTTCCAGATGGAAAATGGGAAATATACATACATTGAATGACCACTTATGTAATTTACTCAATTTGTGTCTATTCGTCTTTTGGACTAGCCTGAATTCGCCAGCATTTGTCATCGTGCGACTTGAACAACTGGAAGAGAGACTGGACTGGCGGCACCAGTCGATCGCCGACAACCAATCTCCGGCAATCTCTATTCGGTAAGCTTCTCAGCGCCTTCAGTTCTTCTCCTTCATCCTTCCATTTTCCATTCTCATGTTCTTCAAAGATGTTCCGTTCTCCATTAGGTTATCTGCTCTAGAAATGCTAGCGGTCTCTTCTCCTCTAGGTTACTTTATTGCATGGATATAATAATTTCGATTTTGAGTTCTGGGTAGCGCGGAACACATGTTAAAGTCACGATCTTTCGACTGTGTTAGTGGCTTCTCGCAGCAACTTTTAGCAGCAAGCAATGGAGAAAAATGGGAAAGGGTTTTCGATGCCCAAGTCCTCTCTCAAGTCCACTCCAAGTAAGCATTTGTTTTGCGTTCTTCTTCCATTTTCTTTCGATAGATGAAGTAGAACTTTCCATTTCCTGTCTTTTGGTTCTACCACCCCTCTCAATTATGCTTATGAAGCGACATCTTTCTTCGTTGGTGTTGCGGAAAACCAGTCTGCTAGAGAACTGAGAATATGGTTGTGTTCTTCATGCTGAACTAGATGATTGGTGCAGTGAGAAATGATGTGGCAAACTCTGAATTATTGAGATAATCCATGAATGTTGATCGTCCATTTCTAACTTATTGCTGGCTTGGAAGATGCATAAGCACTCCCCTCCTGATTGTTCCATCTAAGGAAGTTGGCCTTTGGTGGTTGATTGTTTCTGGTTCATTATTTTGATGATTTGGCGAAGTGTTTCTAGACAAGCGTTGTTTTATCTTGGATACAAGGAGCCCGTTGTGTGTGGAATTTTTTATGAAGGTGTCAATTTGTACATTTTGGTGTTTGAATAGTGTACATGAAATGTGAGCACTTGGTAGTTTAGATCAGTTGCATGCCACCTGCATGCATAGCTTCGTTTTCTACCTTCACCTGAATCGGAGGACGATTCATCTTGACCTATGTTTCTTAAATACTTTGTTTTCTCTACATTTTTCTAGGCAAGGATGATTCCTCTCAAAAGTCAAAAGAGGGGAGGAAAGTTCAGTTCAACAATGGAGGTTAACAGCTTCTATTTCTTTCTTAAAGCTGTCTCATTTGCTCCTCGTTCAAATTTATGAATTTCCTCTTTCCCATGTGTGTTATACGCTATTGTTACTGCTGTAGATAGGTAGTAGCGTGACTGACTGACTGTTAGCATATTCTTTCCCAGTGTGATAGCTAAACATCCATTTTTGTATCTCAGGCTCTCCTGAAGAGAGATTTGATTACTCAAAGTCAAACGGGAAGTCTAGTTCCTCAGCTGATAAAGGTCGAATTCTATGTTCTTACCACGTTTTTGCTTTACTTTTCTCTTGGCTCTTAATCTCTCTAAGATATCTTTTCTGGTCTTTTTGCCTCCTTGTTTGCTCTGTTGTTTGTTTGTCTGTCTGTCTGTCTTTCTTATAAAATATAAGTTTATTTACGTCAAGCTATTATGGTTCTTGATATAGGTGGCAGAGGAAGCACTGCAAATGGGAAGGCCTCGAAATCAAAAGAAAAGGAACCACTTGAGCTTAGGTTAAACCAGGGTATGTAGTGTCTACTTGTTCCTGAACATTGAGCAAAATCCCTGCCTCTGATTATTATCCTTTCATAGGTTTAAGAAATCTTACCATTTTCTTTGCCTGGCCTTTGCTAGAACTTCTGAAGAACGCCAAATGCTTAATGGACTGTGAGGCTGCAGAAATCATACAAGGAATCCAAGATCAGATGACTCTCCTATCCCAAGATGCAACCATCAAACTGCCTGTGTGAGTAAAGGAACCCTCCAAGCTTCTGATATCAGGTAGAAGAAACATAAAGTGATAAGTCTGTCTCTTTTTCATTGGCAGCTCATTTCATAAGGGGCTGCAGTACTCACAGGCTAATGCTCGTTACACAAATACCCACTCCGTTAGACGTGTTCTAGAGTATCCTTCATATGTTTTTTTTCTCTTGGTCCCTCTCACATTGCAACTGCTTTGTAGCAAGCACTATTCAATTCATTGTGAATGTCTTAACTAAGTTACCTAGTACTCTGAAGAAGCATGGTGTTGTGGAAGGAGAGGTATCTCCTTTGAACTGTCTCTGTTTGTAAGTCCAATTCTTACTACCTAAGGAGAGGCATAAGCCATTAAACATGTTCAGCTTAATTTTATGGATGCAGATAAGTGTGATTGCCAATGCTTGCCCTGAGTCTACTGAAGAAGTTTTTGCGTTAGTCCCTTCCTTGAAGGTACAACAAGTCATCTGATTATTTGTATTATTTGCTTGAAAAATCCATGTCTCAACTCAGCAGCCAAGGCTTAATGGAGAACTATGAACTTAATGCTGTATCTAGTGCCTCTGTTTTTTCTATGGGCACTGTTGATCTGGATTGGTGATTTTATATTGAAACATTGCAGTCCAAGAAAAGCATACTGCAGGAACCATTGGAGGTAGCTTTGATGGTGATAAAACCGCTTCGGAAAGTGGACTCAACCTCAGTCTGATTGGTAAGGTTTGCTCATTCTATATGCCTAGTGAATAGCAATTGCCTTTGTGGGATATCAATTGATACATGAAAACGTGATGAACAGAATTGTGGTACTTTTGTTGGAAGAACTAGGAGGAGAGCATGTGAGAGCAGCTTTTTGTGGATTTTGTAGAGGCAGACAAACTAGTTGAAGGAGAGTAGCAATGACCAGCCTAACTAAAGCCCTTTTGTTTTCACAGATGTAGTTGGCAACTGTTACCAATTACCATTTTCTGTGTACATAGCTATGTGGACAATGTTAGGTTTGGCGAACTTGTTTGAACAACTAAAAGTCCATTAAGAAATGGAAGTTATGCTAATTGCTGAAAACCATGAAAAGTTCCAATCCCTACTATTCACATAACCACTTAGTTAGCTTTGACTTGGAGTTTGAGTGGCATGCTATCCCCCAACCACAAGTCAGTCTCTGAATCTACAACATTAGTTGGTTGCAACCTCAGAAGCCATCATTAGTTGGTTGCATCAACGATATGAAAACTGAAAGTCGAGAACTGTAGCTTCTAAATCCCATAGGATCTAGGAAAGGGTAGAAGAACGCATCTAATTATATGAACAGCTTCAACCGGGCGATTTAATGTGTCAACTAATCATCAGAAGACTATGCAAACTCCCCATCAATGTAGCTTGTTAGTGGATATGCAAAAAAAAACCCCGGAAAGAAAAGGGATCTATACCCCCTCTGGCCTCAAGCGAGATTCTTGCAAAGACGATCCATTGGGAAAAAGAGAAACTCCATTGCATTGCACAAACAGCAACCGTTATTACTGTTACAGTTACATAACAAAAGGTCCTTTGACTAGCTAGGAAAGCTACTGCACAACATAAGCATCAAACATATGGAATCAAGCTTTCCTTCCCACCATCCCAAACCTTGAACAACATTTAGAAAAACAGAGAAAGAAACAAACTTTCAATAACCCTTGTTAACCTACAATGTCTCGATCGCTTGCTTCCTTGACACCCTTCTCACCGCCTTCCTTCTTCTCTCCCAAGAGATCCAAGAAGAAACCAGTCAGAATCGGCTCGTAGTTCGGCATCTTAGCATACCCAGGGAAGTAGTTAATGTCAATCACGAGGTACCTATTCCCATCTCTACCATCCCTAATCACATCAAAGTTGAACAAATGCAGCCCCATTGCCTCCTTCAATCCGCTAGCAACTTCCTCTACAAACCCTTCCGGCGGCATCTCGACACCCGCGAACTCAATCTCGCTAGCGTCGACATCACCATCGGCCAGATTGGAGATCTGAGCGAAAGGGAGGGAGCCCTTCAAAGGGGCCGTCCCCAATTTATCCTCCGGAATGTCCGGCAACGACTTCCTCTTCACGCACTGAACCTGGCCGCCGGCGACGTAGACTTTGAAGATCACGCCGCCGTGGTTCACGAACTCCTGTATCACCACCGGCGCTTCCTCCAGCTCAGCCAATCCTTCCCGATCGAAGATCAGATACATCTTGTGAGACAGAATCGTCCCGTTGGCCACCATCGGCTTGGCGATTAACGGAAACCCTAGTTCCTTCACCGCCGTGCTCTGTTTCAGCTCGGCGGAATCCGAGACCACCACCTGTCGAGGAATCTCAGCCCTCTCCTTCCGATCGAGCTTCAGCTTGCTCACCACCTCGAGCATGGAGACGCGATTGTGGAGCTTCTCCACGGCCTCGAGCGGATCGACGATCACCGAATCAGGATTTTCCGCGGTGAAGGCCTCGAGCTGGAGCTTCCAATCGTCGTCGTAGAATTTGTGGACGATGCAATCGAAGTGGCCCTGTGAGGTCAGGGGCTTTGATGGGTCAACGGAGACGAGGTCGACGCCGTGGCTGGCGGCGTATTCGAGGAGGGACGGCTGGATGAAGCTGCTCACCTTCTTGGGAGCGAGGGCGTAGCCGACGCGGTAGCGTTTGTCGGCCATGGCTGCCGGAGCTCTGGTTGAAATTGCTCTTCGGAATTTAGTAGAGATTTAGCTTCTGAGCTGTGAGCGAGAGTGACTGAGGGTGAGTTGTTGAGGAAAGGGGGGAAGGTTTGGTTTATATAGCGATTGTTGGTAGGGAAGAGAGGATCGCAGCTGACAGAGACGGGCGCCGAAGAAGTTTCGTTGGTCGTGGGTTTCCTTTTGTTTGTCTTATTTTATTGGAAAACGCGGGAACAAGTGGCGACTTCTGCTTAACGTTACTTTGGCGCTTCTGCTTTGTGCGGTTGGAGGTTGGAAAGCGCGAGATCAAGTGGCGATTTCTGCTTTACAGCGGTGGGAGATGCTAATATGCGGCGGGAGAGATTCCGTTTCTTTTCCAAGCAATCAAATTTGGCTCAAAACACCAATTATTGATCGAGTTATATTACAATATTTGTTTGGGTAATTAGGATGAAGGTTGAAGATTGACGTAAACTTGAAGGTATTCACTTAGTGGATAAAATACCTTTTCATATATGAATAATGCCTACATTTATCAACAAATCCGTTCCAAAGAATATCATAGAAAGTAGTTAAACAAGCAAGCTCGTAGAAAAGACATATACACATCATTGAAGCAAATACCTTGATTCAATTCGAGATGTAACCAAAGATATTAATTTCGATACAAAATCAAAATTAATACCTAAGAAAGAAAGGGTAAAAATATATAGACATAATGAATTTGTTTATATAGTTGGAGACTTATCAATATAGGGGGCATGTTAATTATATGTATGTCGTAATAATAATAGTTTTACGAACGTGCATGTTTGATTATTTTACGTATATGGTGATGGTGGCCGGTTGTGCTTTTTTCAACTTCCTTGGGAGAGTGTGATTCCCACTAAATAAGAGTGAGGGAAAAGAATAAAGGCTGCATGCAGCAAAGAAAGGAAGGAAATGTGATTCCTCTCTTCTCTTCCTGTTATTAATTATTATATTATTACATTGGCAATGCTTTAAATCCGAAGCGAATCTCATCAAATATATTTGTGTTGTGCCCCTCGCTAGCTTAGCAATGCTTAAGAAGGAGCTTAATTTCCCTCTCTTCTGTTTCTGTATATAAAATTCGAAAGCCTCGATCAATGTGGTGCAAGGAAAAGATTCTTCTTCTTTTTTTTTTTTTTTTTGAAAGGGGAAAAGATTCTTCTTTTAACTTAAAAGCATTTGCACTGATTAAAGCTTTGAGGTATATTTAGATATATAAATTTATATAGAAAGCTGCACTGCCACTGCTGCCAGCTCTTATCCATTTGACCTCTCAGCTCAGTTTTATCTAATGGGCTAGCCTTCATACTTAACTGGTGTGGGTCTGTTCATCTTAATTACCACCACATGAACGACTTAATTACTCACAAGTCTGACATAATAATAATAATACCAATCTGGTACCCATTCCGCTCAAGGGTATTTGTAAAATTCCATATCAATCCTCTTAAAAACCAACGATTTCGTACTAGTCCTTCAAAACTTAACCAATAGCATTTTAATCCCAACCTTTGACAATCAAAGCACCTGTACATATGGCCTTAAAATGATCCTACCACCTTTGGTATTTCATTAGTTTACTTGTTTCTCTCGTTTATTTATGTGCATCTTAGCCTGTTTCTCCAACAATTACCATTAGTAATACTACTAATACATCATCGTGGTACATATACCAAGGCAAGCTAAATAATTCATAATGACAGGACTTAATGTGATTAACCATAAAACAAATTGCTAACAACTTCCTTAAAAGAATCACATCTCTCACTACAACCAAAAATTTTACAACCAAACTAAATTTTGTTGAGAAAAAGTTAGTATTTACAACCAATTAAATTTTGGTAGCTAAAGTATTAACAATTTGGTTGCTTATTAAAATCAAAGTATTGATAACCAAATAAGACTAGAAGAGACCAAATAATTTGGTAGCAAAAGGATTTATACTTTTTTCCAACCAAATAATTTTGGTAGCAAAATTGTTTTTAGTTTTTCCAACCAAAAAATTTGGTAATATGATAATTTTTACTTTTATCCAACCAAATAAAATTGATTATGAATTTAAATAAGAATTTTCAAAATCTTAGATAACTAAATTATTTGGTTGTCATTGTGTTGCTGTTGTATAAAAATGTAGGTACTGTATGTAACTATTACTCAAACTTAGTGGTTGTAGACTTGTAGTAGTAGTTGTGCATAAGAATCCATCTTTACGCTTTTTTTCTTCTCTATCTCCTTCCTTCTTCAGTCTCCCCAAATGTCGATTCCTCCTCCTCCTCCTCCTCCTCTTCTCAATTCCGATTCTGACTCAAATTTCTCCTCTTCTCTCATCTCCTCTTAATTTACATTCCTTATTTGCTTTGTTGAGATCCGGCAATTCCACTTTCCCAAAGATAGCTCTAGGCGCCGTCATCTTGATCCCCGATGACAAGATAGATACTCTCGTCACCGCCGTCATTGAGAAAGTCATGGAGCCGAAGGAGCACGAGGTGTACCCTGGCGTCATTGCGAGATCACGAAAGCCGGCCTGTAGCTCGAGTCGTCCCTGGCATTGTCGAGAGAACACGCAAGCCGAATACGCTGGAGCACGAGCGTCGCTCCAATCCCTAGCCATGGGGTGCAATCCCTCGCCATGGGGTGCAATCCCTCGCCAGGGCCGATGTGATTTTGATCTCGAGCACGGTCGCCGCCTCGGAACTGTGAGGCCTTCTCCTTTGTCTCTCTGATCTCTGTTTACTGAGCTAGGGTTCTGGAAGCTCTTGTCGCGGGGGAATTGATCTCGAATAATCCTGCCTCCAACTCTGGCAAATTCCTTCTCCGCAGGTGAATTGGTCTTTGCATCAAGTAAGAACTGATAGTTATCTGTTGAGGTTAATGTGCTGATTCTTACTTTGTTGTGATGCTTCGGTGTGATTTTTCGTTGTGATTTTTCTGCATAACAAAGGTTTAAATGAAAATGAGTTCGAGGAGGTCGTTTGAGTGCTTCAGCAGGCACCGTAGAAATCAGGTTAGAAGTTTTGAGTTTTCTAAAATCTAACTTCTTCGTTCTTTGCTCTAGTTGGCCAGTCGTTGGTGTTAGTTCTTGATTGCAACACTAGGTGAACATAATTATTGATACTTGGAGCTTTCAATTATGGAAGTGGTGAAACCGACAAAGATTGAGGTCACATCTGCACGAAGAAGCCATGAAGTTGACTCAAGCTTTGTCAAGCATCCTGCTTCCTGTGAGACGAATGTGGCTCCAACTAAATGAGATGAAACTTCCTGTGATTCCATTAAGAGCCTTGATATTGAGTATGTGGACAATAATGACTTGCATGAGATTGATTCTATCAATAAGAAGGCATTGAACAAGCTCTATATTACTGATAATGAACTAGCAGCAGGTGAATTATTTTGACAAAACCTCAATTTGTCCAGTCATCTGTCTTTTTCTGGGTTGCTGAAGATGATCAACCACGTTGTTGCTATACATGGCTCTTCTAAATTGATTTTTGAATTGGAGTGCTTGCAGAAAATGTGTGTCAGAGATGGATTCGGTGTCATTGATATGGATACAGATGACAAGGTTATAAACCTGGATACCAATTTTGAGGATCCTCAGCTTTGTGCAATTATTGCTTCTGATATTTTCTTGACCATGGGTAGGTCATAGATGATGCAAGCACATATTATTAAGTTTATGATAGAGTGGGATTTATTCTTGCCCTGTTTCAGCAACTTTGCCCCCTGAGCTCTAATCAAGATCATTGGTTTTTCAGGGTTTTGGCTTGCATTCTATATGAAGAAACTTTTCACAGGACGGGCTTTGGTGCTTGACGCGTTGTCTTGCTCTTGTATTTCTAGCACAGGCCTGAGTGTCCTTTGTGTTTCAGTGTTCTGGTTTCCTGCTCCTTCCCACCGGGTCCAGTGCTTGTTTCTAAGGTAGTAATGTACAAAACTCACATAATATTTTCTCTGTTTCTAAGTCGTGCATATGATAAATAAATTAATGTTTAATTCGTCCAAGAGATTGAAAATTCTCGCTGTCGATTTTGTTTCCAGTATATATGTTGTTAGCTTATCTGCTTTGGTTCTTGCCTGATCTAATTGTATTATTGTCTTTTTCGTTGGTTTAATTTTTCTTCTTATCAGGATAGCTGAACTCATGAGCACATTCCATCCATACAGGTCTGCCACTACTTTACCTACTAAGACCTAAATAGATTTGATTGGTTTCATGGGATGATTTCTGTGACACTACTACACTGCCATAGTAAATAGATTCGTGCATGTTACCACTACCGTTGGTTATGTTTCGTTCATAGTTCCCCTGCTTTGTTGATATATGCAGAATGCTAAAGCTATCAACTACTGTGTCTACAATTGGTGTCCTTTGTTTTTCCTTGATTTTCATTCGTTTTCATATTCGGGTGGTATTGATTATGGAAGCTACATTATGCATGCCAGTTCTGTTTGGTCTTCGTGCATAATGTGGTTGAAATGTGATGATGGTAATTGATGATAGAACGTTGTGTCTAGTTTACTTCAATTAGTTAGAATGTTCTCAGAAGTAGATTTAGAGAATCTCGTGATACCATAGATAAACTTCATTAGTTCAAGTGTTTTGATTTTTCTCTCATAAAGCTAGTTATGTGAATTCTCCGGCTTAGCTATTTTGCTGTCCATATTGCAGCGAAGAGGTTTCAAGGTGAACCTGCAATGTCTTCTGCAATTTTACTTACCTTCACCCTACACCCTGAGCTTCATTAGCTACAGTTCAACCTGATTTTGATTTCGTTGAACTCCCTCAGTTAGTTAAGTTTTAGTTACCCTTTTCCTCCATCCCCTGTTATACCTTTTACTTCTATCGTTGTTGCAGGGGAATCTTTTTATTTTTATTTTATGGCACCAGATAAAGGTATCCATTTGTTATATGTTCTTATTCTAAGATGCAGATGCTCTTTAAAGTTGGGAGTTGAATTGAATTCATTGAAAATGAGACAAGATTACTGTGTCTTTTTTGTAGTCAGTATCGGGAACTTAGGACTCATGCTAGCACATCTGTCACCTAATTACTTTTATATTTTATACTTTGAAATGCTGCAGAAGTGAATGATGAATCTGGGGATCCAATTTGGAAGAAGCGAGCCGAAAGCTGGAAGGATAACAAGAAGAAGTAAAGAGTTGTAGAATTATGGATTGGGTTATGAAGGTATCTGTGAAATTAGACACTTAGAGATTGTTCTTTTTGAGATGATTTGTCACTGCTAATCCTCACTTATGTTATATATGAGATGCAAAATTACATTTGTATGGAATAATAGTTTCTACCGTTTCTCATGACCAAATTTTATAGTTGCCTTAAACTCTTACTACAGAACAGGTTTGTTGTTAATATTACAAAATTGGTTGACATATATGTTTTTCACGATCAAATTTCATGGTTGTGTTAAACTTTCATAACCGAGAAAATGGTCGTCTTTAATGATTTAATTGGTCAGCGAATTTATTTTTCATGACCATAATTGTTCGTTGTGTACAAACGTTCACTACCAAAATGATTGGTAACTAAAATAAGATTGGTAACTAAAAGTAAAATTTGTAACCAAATAAATTGGTTGTAGTCGGAACTATTACAACCAAATAAAATTGGTAACTAAATATTCAGATTTTTACCATTGATAATATTGGTTGCGTTAGCCATTCTATCCGCTACCAATCTCCTTTTTCTTTCGATTTTGGAGGCTACAGATCACGGATTCGTCTCGAGGCTATTCTCCACCGATAATAAAGTCTATTGATCCTATTCTGCGCCGATGATTAAGTCAATTAAGCACAGAATTGGGCCAATATATTTTGGGATGGCATTTTCGTAATTATTTGATCAGTTTTTTTTTTCGAAAGGCCATTTTACTTGGATTTTGAAGGATAAAGATGGTGGATTCGGCGTGAGGCTATTCTTCAACGACGATTAAGTCCATCCAGGGCCAATTTGGGCGGATTTCTTCCGGGTCAATTTTTGGCAGACTCCAAAGGGGTACCATCACAGATTTCGGGCGATTTTTCCGAAATGCCATTTTCTTTCGATTTTGGAGGCTACAGATCACGGATTCGGCTCGAGGCTATTCTCCACCGATAATAAAGTCTATTGATCCTATTCTGCGCCGATGATTAAGTCAATTAAGCACAGAATTGGGCCAATATATTTTGGGATGGCATTTTCGTAATTATTTGATCAGTTTTTTTTTCGAAAGGCCATTTTACTTGGATTTTGAAGGATAAAGATGGTGGATTCGGCGTGAGGCTATTCTTCAACGACGATTAAGTCCATCCAGGGCCAATTTGGGCGGATTTCTTCCGGGTCAATTTTTGGCAGACTCCAAAGGGGTACCATCACAGATTTCGGGCGATTTTTCCGAAATGCCATTTTCTTTCGATTTTGGAGGCTACAGATCACGGATTCGGCTCGAGGCTATTCTCCACCGATAATAAAGTCTATTGATCCTATTCTGCGCCGATGATTAAGTCAATTAAGCACAGAATTGGGCCAATATATTTTGGGATGGCATTTTCGTAATTATTTGATCAGTTTTTTTTTCGAAAGGCCATTTTACTTGGATTTTGAAGGATAAAGATGGTGGATTCGGCGTGAGGCTATTCTTCAACGACGATTAAGTCCATCCAGGGCCAATTTGGGCGGATTTCTTCCGGGTCAATTTTTGGCAGACTCCAAAGGGGTACCATCACAGATTTCGGGCGATTTTTCCGAAATGCCATTTTCTTTCGATTTTGGAGGCTACAGATCACGGATTCGGCTCGAGGCTATTCTCCACCGATAATAAAGTCTATTGATCCTATTCTGCGCCGATGATTAAGTCAATTAAGCACAGAATTGGGCCAATATATTTTGGGATGGCATTTTCGTAATTATTTGATCAGTTTTTTTTTTCGAAAGGCCATTTTACTTGGATTTTGAAGGATAAAGATGGTGGATTCGGCGTGAGGCTATTCTTCAACGACGATTAAGTCCATCCAGGGCCAATTTGGGCGGATTTCTTCCGGGTCAATTTTTGGCAGACTCCAAAGGGGTACCATCACAGATTTCGGGCGATTTTTCCGAAATGCCATTTTCTTTCGATTTTGGAGGCTACAGATCACGGATTCGGCTCGAGGCTATTCTCCACCGATAATAAAGTCTATTGATCCTATTCTGCGCCGATGATTAAGTCAATTAAGCACAGAATTGGGCCAATATATTTTGGGATGGCATTTTCGTAATTATTTGATCAGTTTTTTTTTCGAAAGGCCATTTTACTTGGATTTTGAAGGATAAAGATGGTGGATTCGGCGTGAGGCTATTCTTCAACGACGATTAAGTCCATCCAGGGCCAATTTGGGCGGATTTCTTCCGGGTCAATTTTTGGCAGACTCCAAAGGGGTACCATCACAGATTTCGGGCGATTTTTCCGAAATGCCATTTTCTTTCGATTTTGGAGGCTACAGATCACGGATTCGGCTCGAGGCTATTCTCCACCGATAATAAAGTCTATTGATCCTATTCTGCGCCGATGATTAAGTCAATTAAGCACAGAATTGGGCCAATATATTTTGGGATGGCATTTTCGTAATTATTTGATCAGTTTTTTTTTCGAAAGGCCATTTTACTTGGATTTTGAAGGATAAAGATGGTGGATTCGGCGTGAGGCTATTCTTCAACGACGATTAAGTCCATCCAGGGCCAATTTGGGCGGATTTCTTCCGGGTCAATTTTTGGCAGACTCCAAAGGGGTACCATCACAGATTTCGGGCGATTTTTCCGAAATGCCATTTTCTTTCGATTTTGGAGGCTACAGATCACGGATTCGGCTCGAGGCTATTCTCCACCGATAATAAAGTCTATTGATCCTATTCTGCGCCGATGATTAAGTCAATTAAGCACAGAATTGGGCCAATATATTTTGGGATGGCATTTTCGTAATTATTTGATCAGTTTTTTTTTTCGAAAGGCCATTTTACTTGGATTTTGAAGGATAAAGATGGTGGATTCGGCGTGAGGCTATTCTTCAACGACGATTAAGTCCATCCAGGGCCAATTTGGGCGGATTTCTTCCGGGTCAATTTTTGGCAGACTCCAAAGGGGTACCATCACAGATTTCGGGCGATTTTTCCGAAATGCCATTTTCTTTCGATTTTGGAGGCTACAGATCACGGATTCGGCTCGAGGCTATTCTCCACCGATAATAAAGTCTATTGATCCTATTCTGCGCCGATGATTAAGTCAATTAAGCACAGAATTGGGCCAATATATTTTGGGATGGCATTTTCGTAATTATTTGATCAGTTTTTTTTTCGAAAGGCCATTTTACTTGGATTTTGAAGGATAAAGATGGTGGATTCGGCGTGAGGCTATTCTTCAACGACGATTAAGTCCATCCAGGGCCAATTTGGGCGGATTTCTTCCGGGTCAATTTTTGGCAGACTCCAAAGGGGTACCATCACAGATTTCGGGCGATTTTTCCGAAATGCCATTTTCTTTCGATTTTGGAGGCTACAGATCACGGATTCGGCTCGAGGCTATTCTCCACCGATAATAAAGTCTATTGATCCTATTCTGCGCCGATGATTAAGTCAATTAAGCACAGAATTGGGCCAATATATTTTGGGATGGCATTTTCGTAATTATTTGATCAGTTTTTTTTTCGAAAGGCCATTTTACTTGGATTTTGAAGGATAAAGATGGTGGATTCGGCGTGAGGCTATTCTTCAACGACGATTAAGTCCATCCAGGGCCAATTTGGGCGGATTTCTTCCGGGTCAATTTTTGGCAGACTCCAAAGGGGTACCATCACAGATTTCGGGCGATTTTTCCGAAATGCCATTTTCTTTCGATTTTGGAGGCTACAGATCACGGATTCGGCTCGAGGCTATTCTCCACCGATAATAAAGTCTATTGATCCTATTCTGCGCCGATGATTAAGTCAATTAAGCACAGAATTGGGCCAATATATTTTGGGATGGCATTTTCGTAATTATTTGATCAGTTTTTTTTTTCGAAAGGCCATTTTACTTGGATTTTGAAGGATAAAGATGGTGGATTCGGCGTGAGGCTATTCTTCAACGACGATTAAGTCCATCCAGGGCCAATTTGGGCGGATTTCTTCCGGGTCAATTTTTGGCAGACTCCAAAGGGGTACCATCACAGATTTCGGGCGATTTTTCCGAAATGCCATTTTCTTTCGATTTTGGAGGCTACAGATCACGGATTCGGCTCGAGGCTATTCTCCACCGATAATAAAGTCTATTGATCCTATTCTGCGCCGATGATTAAGTCAATTAAGCACAGAATTGGGCCAATATATTTTGGGATGGCATTTTCGTAATTATTTGATCAGTTTTTTTTTCGAAAGGCCATTTTACTTGGATTTTGAAGGATAAAGATGGTGGATTCGGCGTGAGGCTATTCTTCAACGACGATTAAGTCCATCCAGGGCCAATTTGGGCGGATTTCTTCCGGGTCAATTTTTGGCAGACTCCAAAGGGGTACCATCACAGATTTCGGGCGATTTTTCCGAAATGCCATTTTCTTTCGATTTTGGAGGCTACAGATCACGGATTCGGCTCGAGGCTATTCTCCACCGATAATAAAGTCTATTGATCCTATTCTGCGCCGATGATTAAGTCAATTAAGCACAGAATTGGGCCAATATATTTTGGGATGGCATTTTCGTAATTATTTGATCAGTTTTTTTTTCGAAAGGCCATTTTACTTGGATTTTGAAGGATAAAGATGGTGGATTCGGCGTGAGGCTATTCTTCAACGACGATTAAGTCCATCCAGGGCCAATTTGGGCGGATTTCTTCCGGGTCAATTTTTGGCAGACTCCAAAGGGGTACCATCACAGATTTCGGGCGATTTTTCCGAAATGCCATTTTCTTTCGATTTTGGAGGCTACAGATCACGGATTCGGCTCGAGGCTATTCTCCACCGATAATAAAGTCTATTGATCCTATTCTGCGCCGATGATTAAGTCAATTAAGCACAGAATTGGGCCAATATATTTTGGGATGGCATTTTCGTAATTATTTGATCAGTTTTTTTTTCGAAAGGCCATTTTACTTGGATTTTGAAGGATAAAGATGGTGGATTCGGCGTGAGGCTATTCTTCAACGACGATTAAGTCCATCCAGGGCCAATTTGGGCGGATTTCTTCCGGGTCAATTTTTGGCAGACTCCAAAGGGGTACCATCACAGATTTCGGGCGATTTTTCCGAAATGCCATTTTCTTTCGATTTTGGAGGCTACAGATCACGGATTCGGCTCGAGGCTATTCTCCACCGATAATAAAGTCTATTGATCCTATTCTGCGCCGATGATTAAGTCAATTAAGCACAGAATTGGGCCAATATATTTTGGGATGGCATTTTCGTAATTATTTGATCAGTTTTTTTTTTCGAAAGGCCATTTTACTTGGATTTTGAAGGATAAAGATGGTGGATTCGGCGTGAGGCTATTCTTCAACGACGATTAAGTCCATCCAGGGCCAATTTGGGCGGATTTCTTCCGGGTCAATTTTTGGCAGACTCCAAAGGGGTACCATCACAGATTTCGGGCGATTTTTCCGAAATGCCATTTTCTTTCGATTTTGGAGGCTACAGATCACGGATTCGGCTCGAGGCTATTCTCCACCGATAATAAAGTCTATTGATCCTATTCTGCGCCGATGATTAAGTCAATTAAGCACAGAATTGGGCCAATATATTTTGGGATGGCATTTTCGTAATTATTTGATCAATTTTTTTTTCGAAAGGCCATTTTACTTGGATTTTGAAGGATAAAGATGGTGGATTCGGCGTGAGGCTATTCTTCAACGACGATTAAGTCCATCCAGGGCCAATTTGGGCGGATTTCTTCCGGGTCAATTTTTGGCAGACTCCAAAGGGGTACCATCACAGATTTCGGGCGATTTTTCCGAAATGCCATTTTCTTTCGATTTTGGAGGCTACAGATCACGGATTCGGCTCGAGGCTATTCTCCACCGATAATAAAGTCTATTGATCCTATTCTGCGCCGATGATTAAGTCAATTAAGCACAGAATTGGGCCAATATATTTTGGGATGGCATTTTCGTAATTATTTGATCAGTTTTTTTTTCGAAAGGCCATTTTACTTGGATTTTGAAGGATAAAGATGGTGGATTCGGCGTGAGGCTATTCTTCAACGACGATTAAGTCCATCCAGGGCCAATTTGGGCGGATTTCTTCCGGGTCAATTTTTGGCAGACTCCAAAGGGGTACCATCACAGATTTCGGGCGATTTTTCCGAAATGCCATTTTCTTTCGATTTTGGAGGCTACAGATCACGGATTCGGCTCGAGGCTATTCTCCACCGATAATAAAGTCTATTGATCCTATTCTGCGCCGATGATTAAGTCAATTAAGCACAGAATTGGGCCAATATATTTTGGGATGGCATTTTCGTAATTATTTGATCAATTTTTTTTTCGAAAGGCCATTTTACTTGGATTTTGAAGGATAAAGATGGTGGATTCGGCGTGAGGCTATTCTTCAACGACGATTAAGTCCATCCAGGGCCAATTTGGGCGGATTTCTTCCGGGTCAATTTTTGGCAGACTCCAAAGGGGTACCATCACAGATTTCGGGCGATTTTTCCGAAATGCCATTTTCTTTCGATTTTGGAGGCTACAGATCACGGATTCGGCTCGAGGCTATTCTCCACCGATAATAAAGTCTATTGATCCTATTCTGCGCCGATGATTAAGTCAATTAAGCACAGAATTGGGCCAATATATTTTGGGATGGCATTTTCGTAATTATTTGATCAGTTTTTTTTTCGAAAGGCCATTTTACTTGGATTTTGAAGGATAAAGATGGTGGATTCGGCGTGAGGCTATTCTTCAACGACGATTAAGTCCATCCAGGGCCAATTTGGGCGGATTTCTTCCGGGTCAATTTTTGGCAGACTCCAAAGGGGTACCATCACAGATTTCGGGCGATTTTTCCGAAATGCCATTTTCTTTCGATTTTGGAGGCTACAGATCACGGATTCGGCTCGAGGCTATTCTCCACCGATAATAAAGTCTATTGATCCTATTCTGCGCCGATGATTAAGTCAATTAAGCACAGAATTGGGCCAATATATTTTGGGATGGCATTTTCGTAATTATTTGATCAGTTTTTTTTTCGAAAGGCCATTTTACTTGGATTTTGAAGGATAAAGATGGTGGATTCGGCGTGAGGCTATTCTTCAACGACGATTAAGTCCATCCAGGGCCAATTTGGGCGGATTTCTTCCGGGTCAATTTTTGGCAGACTCCAAAGGGGTACCATCACAGATTTCGGGCGATTTTTCCGAAATGCCATTTTCTTTCGATTTTGGAGGCTACAGATCACGGATTCGGCTCGAGGCTATTCTCCACCGATAATAAAGTCTATTGATCCTATTCTGCGCCGATGATTAAGTCAATTAAGCACAGAATTGGGCCAATATATTTTGGGATGGCATTTTCGTAATTATTTGATCAGTTTTTTTTTCGAAAGGCCATTTTACTTGGATTTTGAAGGATAAAGATGGTGGATTCGGCGTGAGGCTATTCTTCAACGACGATTAAGTCCATCCAGGGCCAATTTGGGCGGATTTCTTCCGGGTCAATTTTTGGCAGACTCCAAAGGGGTACCATCACAGATTTCGGGCGATTTTTCCGAAATGCCATTTTCTTTCGATTTTGGAGGCTACAGATCACGGATTCGGCTCGAGGCTATTCTCCACCGATAATAAAGTCTATTGATCCTATTCTGCGCCGATGATTAAGTCAATTAAGCACAGAATTGGGCCAATATATTTTGGGATGGCATTTTCGTAATTATTTGATCAGTTTTTTTTTCGAAAGGCCATTTTACTTGGATTTTGAAGGATAAAGATGGTGGATTCGGCGTGAGGCTATTCTTCAACGACGATTAAGTCCATCCAGGGCCAATTTGGGCGGATTTCTTCCGGGTCAATTTTTGGCAGACTCCAAAGGGGTACCATCACAGATTTCGGGCGATTTTTCCGAAATGCCATTTTCTTTCGATTTTGGAGGCTACAGATCACGGATTCGGCTCGAGGCTATTCTCCACCGATAATAAAGTCTATTGATCCTATTCTGCGCCGATGATTAAGTCAATTAAGCACAGAATTGGGCCAATATATTTTGGGATGGCATTTTCGTAATTATTTGATCAGTTTTTTTTTCGAAAGGCCATTTTACTTGGATTTTGAAGGATAAAGATGGTGGATTCGGCGTGAGGCTATTCTTCAACGACGATTAAGTCCATCCAGGGCCAATTTGGGCGGATTTCTTCCGGGTCAATTTTTGGCAGACTCCAAAGGGGTACCATCACAGATTTCGGGCGATTTTTCCGAAATGCCATTTTCTTTCGATTTTGGAGGCTACAGATCACGGATTCGGCTCGAGGCTATTCTCCACCGATAATAAAGTCTATTGATCCTATTCTGCGCCGATGATTAAGTCAATTAAGCACAGAATTGGGCCAATATATTTTGGGATGGCATTTTCGTAATTATTTGATCAGTTTTTTTTTCGAAAGGCCATTTTACTTGGATTTTGAAGGATAAAGATGGTGGATTCGGCGTGAGGCTATTCTTCAACGACGATTAAGTCCATCCAGGGCCAATTTGGGCGGATTTCTTCCGGGTCAATTTTTGGCAGACTCCAAAGGGGTACCATCACAGATTTCGGGCGATTTTTCCGAAATGCCATTTTCTTTCGATTTTGGAGGCTACAGATCACGGATTCGGCTCGAGGCTATTCTCCACCGATAATAAAGTCTATTGATCCTATTCTGCGCCGATGATTAAGTCAATTAAGCACAGAATTGGGCCAATATATTTTGGGATGGCATTTTCGTAATTATTTGATCAGTTTTTTTTTCGAAAGGCCATTTTACTTGGATTTTGAAGGATAAAGATGGTGGATTCGGCGTGAGGCTATTCTTCAACGACGATTAAGTCCATCCAGGGCCAATTTGGGCGGATTTCTTCCGGGTCAATTTTTGGCAGACTCCAAAGGGGTACCATCACAGATTTCGGGCGATTTTTCCGAAATGCCATTTTCTTTCGATTTTGGAGGCTACAGATCACGGATTCGGCTCGAGGCTATTCTCCACCGATAATAAAGTCTATTGATCCTATTCTGCGCCGATGATTAAGTCAATTAAGCACAGAATTGGGCCAATATATTTTGGGATGGCATTTTCGTAATTATTTGATCAGTTTTTTTTTCGAAAGGCCATTTTACTTGGATTTTGAAGGATAAAGATGGTGGATTCGGCGTGAGGCTATTCTTCAACGACGATTAAGTCCATCCAGGGCCAATTTGGGCGGATTTCTTCCGGGTCAATTTTTGGCAGACTCCAAAGGGGTACCATCACAGATTTCGGGCGATTTTTCCGAAATGCCATTTTCTTTCGATTTTGGAGGCTACAGATCACGGATTCGGCTCGAGGCTATTCTCCACCGATAATAAAGTCTATTGATCCTATTCTGCGCCGATGATTAAGTCAATTAAGCACAGAATTGGGCCAATATATTTTGGGATGGCATTTTCGTAATTATTTGATCAATTTTTTTTTCGAAAGGCCATTTTACTTGGATTTTGAAGGATAAAGATGGTGGATTCGGCGTGAGGCTATTCTTCAACGACGATTAAGTCCATCCAGGGCCAATTTGGGCGGATTTCTTCCGGGTCAATTTTTGGCAGACTCCAAAGGGGTACCATCACAGATTTCGGGCGATTTTTCCGAAATGCCATTTTCTTTCGATTTTGGAGGCTACAGATCACGGATTCGGCTCGAGGCTATTCTCCACCGATAATAAAGTCTATTGATCCTATTCTGCGCCGATGATTAAGTCAATTAAGCACAGAATTGGGCCAATATATTTTGGGATGGCATTTTCGTAATTATTTGATCAGTTTTTTTTTCGAAAGGC